AAAAAATCAATGGAAAAATATCCTTGGGTGAGGATTAACAAAAAAAAAAAACAAAACAAAAAAAAAAAGGGGAGGAGGGGTGTCTTATAATAATTCTCTTCCATCTGTAAAATCTGGAAGTACGACCGCCGCGTCCCATAGGAATCCACCTCTCCTTGAGCTTGTTGAACTCCGGGTAGAGGATTTTCTCATCCTGGAGGTCCTTAGCCACCATCTGATTGTCATTCATTGAGGCAAAGGCAAATATCAGGTGGGTACAGAGAAAGGGGTCCAGGTCACTGGGCAAGACCGAGGCAGGGCTGGGTCGATTGAGTGCCCAGTTGGTGAAATAACACACCAGTTTGTGGGCAGCACCTGGCAAGGGAGAGCATACATTAGTCTACAAGAGACTGAGGGTGGGGAGGGGGCTCAGCTTCCACAGAGCATCGTGGACACAGTCCCAGAGGCCAGACCACTGCAATCCCCCCGCCCCCTTACACACACAGACATACACCCCAAGCCACACGGAGCCCCCGCTGCTGAGGCCCCAGAAGGAAAAGAATGGCCTGGGAAATCCTGGTCAGAGCAGGTTTTCGGGTCTGGGTCTCAGCACAGACAGGGACGCAAACAGATTCCTCTGCTGAACTGGATTGGGTCGGTGACCCTGCCACAGGACCAGGGTAGGATGAGGACTCAGGGGACACAATGCAGAGCACGACTGGCCAGGGAATCGATCTGGCTCCAGAGGGAGGGACTCGGTCTCCTTACCATCCCGGGGTCTCAGCGCCAGAGCCAGCCCTGTGGCAAACAAAGGAAGGGATGACCCGCACAGTCAGTGCCTGCCCAGGGCTCAGGGCCCAGAGCGAGAGACACACCCAGATCGCCTCCAGCCCTGGAGAGCGGCCACTGGCCCAGCACCTCGCTGCCCATTTACTTGTTACTTGTCTCTTGTCTCTAAGTTGAGTCAGTGGGGCCAGACCTATCTACCTTCTTCTTACTCTCTGAACACCCCGTAACTACACACAGGCTGAGTGCGGGGACAGCCAGGACTCTCAGAAGTCCCGGGAGAGCCCCAGGCCAGCGCTGCGCAGCCCTGCTGCCGGTGGAAAAGCAGTGGCATCCGGGCCTCTCCGTACCAGGATTCTGATTCCACTGGTCCGCGGGAAACCAGCCATGAAGTGTTTACTGTGCAGCCAGGTTTGACAGCCACTCCCTCCTTGCTCCTCCCTGGGCCCCTCTGGCCTTTCACTGTGTCCCGTCCCCCTCCCTCCAATCCAGGCCACCAGAGGCCCAGGCTGCTTGCTGGCCCCTGAGGGATGGCATGTGGAGGAGGCCTGGTCCCTCCAGGATGCGGGACACACTCACCGACCCACAGCAGCAGCCTCCCCATGGCCACGGTCTGGGAGCTGCGAGGCTAGAGCTCAGGCCCCTTTATAGGAGCGTCCCAGGGACAGCCGTAGGGTAGCACTGGACAGCCCGGCTGCTTGCGCGCAAAACAGGGACAGTGATGGATGGATGGGCTGCCGCCCAGAGTCACAGTGACCCCAGCACTCCGGTCCTCCCTCTCCAGCTCTCAGAGCCAACAAAGCAAAGCTCCGTCAGACAGTGAACAAGGAGTGAGTTGGCACCATGAGCCAGGGGGAGGGCAGCCCTTCTTCCTGGTGTTCAGCCCCAGGGACTGAGTGTGCCATCTGGGCACTCCGAGAGTATCTAATACAAGTGATCTAATACAATGGTTTCTGCTCCTAGTCTAGTGAACATCCCAAGAACTAATGTGTCCTTTCTCTCTCTTGGAGAAGTGAGTGTGTGTGTGATCTCTTGCAGAAGTGTGTGTGTCTCTCATCTTTCTTGGATGGGTGCAATGGGAAAAACATGAGTTTTTTGTTGCCTGGAGATGAATTCCTGCTTGGCACCACCACTGGAGCCATTGGAATCCCACCTTTGCACGCATCCCATCCTCCATTCCTTAGGCTCGTGATTGGCAAACCGCAGCTCACGAGCCACGTGTGGCTCTTTGGCCCCTTGAGTGTGTCTCTTCCACAAAATACCAGGGCCTGGGTGAGTCTATTTTGAAGAAGTAGCATTAGAAGAAATTTAAAAAATTTGACTCTCAAAAGGAATGTCAATCATTGTACTGTTGATATTTGGCTCTGTTGACTAATGAGTTTGCCGACCACTGCCTTAAGCCATTGCCAGCCTAAGTCAGGAGATAATTAAGCCTCTGAGAGCAACTGTGGGTCAGGCTTGGCAAGTGCACTGTTGGTTAGGTGACTCCTGGTGTGACTTCTAATCTGGGGACCTTGCCCTGAGTTGCTGCAGTTTCTAGCCCATGTGCCCTCATTCTTGTTACTAGGTCTCTGCTTTGATTTCTCTTCCTGATCTACTGTGGGCCCTTCAGTTGTTTCCTAGGACGTGGGTCCTCAGTCTTGCCAAGCTTCCGGGGCCTTATTGACTGTCTTTGAAGACCTCCTTGATGTAGAATGCCTACCCCTCTCTTCTTCTGAGCCTCCCCTCACCACCAGCACCACTCTCCTCCCCTCCCCCAGCCCCAGGTTCCACATCACTGAGATTTCACGCTCGGTTTATGCCCTCCTGCACAGACTCCTGCCAGGGGCACTGGCTATTGATGCGGAACCCATCACAGCGCCCCGTTTGCCTATCTCAACCTCATTCACCTGCGCCAGGGCCACCCCTTCGGGCTCCTGTTCTATTGCAGTGGGCAAGGCTGGAAAGCAGACCTAACCATTTCATTCCCCCAGAAGGGACTGATAATGCCGAGGAAAATGCCAAGACACAACAATGGATGCCCAGGAATGACCTCTGCTTCATGCAGGGATGACCGTGCCAGAGTGGGAGACTATGCCCCTCGGTGTACAGCAGATGATGAATAGTAAGAAGCTGAATGGGTTATGCTGAAAAGCAGTGTGGCATGTTACTGTTTGTCCTCAATCTTTCTCCTCGAGTTCTTGTCAGAGAACACCACCATTGTTTTTCATTTTTACACACCCACACGGTACTTAGACATACGCCCTGCTGGGGCTTAGCCTGTTCCCACGAAACGAGAAGACATCCACAGATCTTACAGGGGACTTACTGAAGAATTCCTTACAATAGTGCAGCCCCTCCTGTGTAACACTGCTAGGTGAAGACCAGACCACAGAAGGAAGTGGCTTAGTTTTAACAAAGCATTTGACCAAATCTTTCATGAGTTATCCCGAAAGAATTGGAGAGGTACGACTTGAACAAGATCAGTTGGTTGGTTGGTATAACTCGAGTGCTGGCTACAGATCAGTGTGAACATCCAAGAGCTTTACCGCGTCCTTTAAATGAATGTAATAGACTAGAGAGCACTTTCCAACATTTAATGTAAAATGATTTTGGTTGTACGAAGTTTAAATTTTTTAATGTTTAGTGTGTATTAGAAAATGTATAATGCCCCCCCAAAATCATATAAAATTATTTTAAAAATTGAGGCAGTTAAAAACAACACTATTTTAATAAAGCAATAGAGGTCAGTACTATGCCCAAACCCCAGGTAAAGGGTTTCCTACAGAAATGGGAAAGTTCACTTTGAAACTATTTTTTTTTGTTTTTTTTAAAAAAATATATTTTATTGATTTTTTAGAGGAAGGGAGATAGCTAGAAACGTTGACCAGTTGCCTCCTGCACACCCCCTACCGGGGATGTGCCCGCAACCAATGTACATGCCCTTGACTGGAATTACTTTTTATATATTAATATTTTTGTTGATTTCAGAGAGGAAGATGAGAAACATCAATGAATCATTGATTGGCTGCCTCCTGAACGCCACCTACTGGGGATCAAGCCCACCACCCAGGCATGTGCCCTTGACTGGTATCAAACCAGGACCCTTCAGTCCACCAGCTAGGGATTGACCTGAATCTTTACTTATAAAAATGTGTCCATGTTCCTTCAAACTGCCCCAGTTCCATGCGATTTTTGCTAAGCTGAACATGCAAGTACCAAAGTACATGATGGATTATATTTCATTTCAATACGCTCAGTAACTGATTCATGATTTCTAACCGCCAGTCCAACCCCAGTCACCCAATGTTTAGCTAAAGTTCCAACCAGCTGCTCTGGGGGCGTAGGACTGAGACCTTGAGAAGTGAAACATGTGTAACTGCACGTACGACGCGTTGGAAAAGACAGGCCCACAAAAGCCTAAACGTTTTATTCCATCAGCCAGGATCCACAGAAAGGGCCGAGGCAGGTCAGGCCCAGGCAATTTTCAGTTAAGAGAGGTGGCAGCCTTTTCTCTGCAAGTCCTAAGTCCTTATGTCAGTTTTTAACTAACTGAAATGCCCTTAAGCTCTCCACCATCCCCATCCATGGCCTCTATGATAGAAAAACCCTCGTCTCGCACACACACAGCTCTGCGGGAGGCGGGGAGGCAAACACAGGCACCAAACTTTATTCCGCCAGAAAATGGAGGTCGAACTCAGTTTAATGGCAAGATGTGCAAACTGGTGAGTGGCGTGGCTCTTCCTCCAGCTTAGCTGGCCTGGGCTTCTGTGAATGGAAGCACTGTCCATGTTAAAAGTGAATTAAGTTCTATAAAAAAAATTGAGCTGCTCCCATCTCTCTGAGTAGTATAGGAGCTGCTTCTAGAACCCAGGAGTGCCCACATCTCATCCAGACTCAGCTGGTTCCGCACCCACAGCTACAGGGAGCATAAAAGCCTCATGACCTCTTTTCTAGGGGGTGGAGATGGTGGGCTTCGGGAGTTTTTATCCTCCTCCCTCTTCTGACCAAAAAAAAAAACACGACACACACACACACTCAGACACACATACCTATCCATTTCCCAGACAGTTTCTCTCCCCTGTGACTCCGGGATCCCAGAATCAGCCATCCCAGGCTGAGAGACGTGCCTAGTGACTGCCCAGGTCTGGGGTATCAGCTGGCCTGGATTTGAAAAGGCTCCTGTGTGGTCTCCCAGACTGAGAGGGCAAAGGACGAGGCTACTCCTGGGGGATGTGCTTTTTGCCTTAAACCGTCTACTTGGCAACACTGTTAGGCGCAGGGGCTGGGAGCGGTTCTGTGGACAGCAGGTGGTGGATGACCTGGTGGTCCCAGCCCACGGTGGTGAGGAGGGAGGGGTTGAGCGGAGACCATGTAGCATCCCTCACAAAGTCTCTGTGGGCTCGGCTTCTGAACCTGGAAGGGGAAAGGAAAGTGTGAGCGTGGCAGGGACAGGAGGAGAGCACCCACCAGCTCCAGGCACATTGCTGGGCTGCATTACACACACTCCGTCATAGGTATGACCCCAGAGGACCTCACGGAACCTCATTTCCATGGATGAAGAAACAGTGGCTAGAGCAAGAGCAGGGCCCCGGGCCAAGCTCAGACCGCAAGTCAGGGCCAAGAAGGAAGACAGACAGACCTTCCACCTGGTGCTCTTCACCTGGTCACAGGCTCCAATTCACTAAGCGATGCTTTGTGTGCAGAGGGCAGGCTGCCCTGGGACATGGCATGCCAGTCTCAGAAACGCCGCCCGCCACCACATTCCTCTCCCAGGGACAGAGTGGGCCGTGAAGCAGCCCCAGGAGGGAGGGCCAACACCCCGCCGCTTCCCCCACCTGGTCCCCTTGAGAGACAATGCACTTTCCTGAGAAGGAAAAGGACCGGCACTGCTGCTCCCCTCCCCGCTTCCCGCCCACAGCTCCCCGTGCACTCACACGTTGGACAGGCTCGAGTCCAGCACAGCCAGGGAGCAGTCTTCGCTGACGGAGGCCAGCAGGGGAGCGCTAGGAGAGGGAGGGGAAGGGAAGCCCGTGGGTCCCAAGACAAACCCTGATGGGCCAGCTCCCAACCCCCAGTCCAAAGTGACGGGAGAAGGGGCCTAATCCCCACGGTGGGTTAAGGTCTGGCTACCACTCAAGTGGAAATGGTAAATTCCGAGGAAAGATGAGGGAAATGGAAAATATCCAGGGTGGACAATCGTCCTGGCAACTAACCACCCCATCTGGTCCCTCCCTGCAGCTCCAGCAATAACCCAGAAACACAGGATTCTCAACCCCGCTGTCCCAGAAGCCCGAGCAATTCACTGTGTTGGGTGCTAAGCTGGATGTCAGCCATTTGCAGACAGGGACTGCACAGCCCAAAAAAGACCCGTCTTAAGAGACCGCCGACATTCTGAAACCTCAGCAGAGCCGGGTCTGCTTTAAGACACTTCCTATGCTTGGCTGACATAAGCAGGTCCCCTCGCCGGGCCCAGGTGACCCAGCAGGCCCTGATGACAGTACCTGTGCGGGGAGAACACCAGCCCCGTGACGCACTGGGAGTGCACAGCGGAGCTGAGGACACAGCTTGCACTCTTGGTGTCCACCAGGGAGACAGTGCCGTTCTCATCGCCTGCAGAGAAGCAAGAGCGCAGTGCAGGGGTTAGGAGTGAGGGCGTTGGGAGTCAGCCAGACCTGGATTTGAATGCCAGTCCCACGATGTACTGGACAAGTTAACCCCTCTTAGGATCAGTCTTCTCTTTTGTCAAGTAGGATTAAGTAGCCATTGGGTGGTTGTGAAAATTAAACTAATGGATGATGTAGTTATCAGTTCAACCGCAGACCCTGTCACCATAATAGCACGCCTATGCACAGAACGAAATTCCCCCTATAGTAAGTCTTCACTTAACATCACTGATTGATTGTGATTGAAGTGAAACAACATATAATGAAACCAATTTGCACAGCTCGGTGATATAAACAAGTTTTAAGTTCCTGTGGCATCTCGTCGATGTTGTGAAACGATGCTGAATGAAGTGACATTATCCAAGGACCTGCTGTGTCATGGCCCCCGTGCTTTGTGGCCCACTGACTTCTAGTCACAGCCAGGTACAAGAGCCAGAACAAACAGTCAGGGCTCAAGTCCACGGGGGAGGAAACCACCGTGCTGTCCAGAGCTGGACTAAAACCACGTCAGCACCATTTAGTGGCGGCCAGGTGTGCGGAGGCAGAGCAGCCGGAGCCCTGTGCGTTACGGAGCTGGCACTCTCTCTCTCATCCTCCCCTTCCTAGAGTCAACACGCAGTCTGAGGTGCTCCCTTACCCAAGACAAAGACTTTGCTCTGCTGAGGATGCCACACTAGTGAGGTAGGAAGGTAGCCCGAGGCACTGCAGCCTGCAAAGGAGAGGAGGGTTCCGTATGAGGCCCGGCTCCAAGGAGATGCTTCTCAGGTGACGTCAGTCTAAGTCCCGGGAACTCTTTATTCCGACTCTCAAAGCCACCAAGGCAGCCGGGTCCTCATCCCTGACCCTCATAACTTCCATTTACCCACCAGCCTCCTGCCCTTTCTGGACACAAGTCGCAGGCGAGTTTCAAGCATAAACATGAAGATTTCAGCTCTGGCCCCCGTGTTGACCCATCCAGGAACTGGAAAGTGAGTCACCGCCCAGGAACCAGCCCTTCCGCTGAGGGCAGCAGAGGCTCAGTGGGAAGGAGAGTGGTCATGTAGCTTATGTACAGCAACTGGCCTCTGACAACTTTCCCTTTGACTCTGGCCAAGGAAAGCCTTTCCTAGGTGGGTCCCAGTCCCTCTCTCCCACGGCGCTTTCTCAGGCTCACCCATCTGTGACGCTGGCTTGGGGCAGCGGGTATCCCAGAGTAAAATTCTACTGTCCTGGAAGCAGAGGAAAGAAAAGGCTTTAGGACCCAAAGCAGCAGCTGGGCCAGGAGGTCTCCACACCAGACTTTGGCCTCGGGGGCTGGAGTGCGGCTGGGGAGTGGGAAGGGAAGAGGCTGTATCTCACCTCACCGCACGAAAGAAACATGGAATCCTGGTGAGGAGAGGCAGCAACGCAGGTGACCTGCCCGGAGTGAGCTGTACAGGAGGGAGGGAGAAATGTGAGAAGCGAAAGCCACTGCTACCCGGCAGCCAGACCCTATCAAGGGGCAGGAGGGAGGGGCAGAAGCAGGCCTAGGCTCAGGATGCAATGTAATAAATTTCACAAGAGATTTTGAATGAAATAAAACCTAATAGGAGATGTTGATGGAGTTACAAAACTTAAAAAGGACTTGGGAAAAATTAATTAGCAAAGACAATGAGAGAGAAATTGGGGCTGAGTAGGAACAGTGAAAGATTTCATAGTGAACATTCTAGAAGAGTAGTCTTCATACTGCACGATGCATGCCTCACGGGAGTTCTGGACACTAGGCTTTAAGGGAATAGATTTCCTGAATGTTCTCTTTCCTCCAAGTGAATGAGTAGCTGCCTGCAGTAGTCAGGCAGGAGAGCGAGGACCTGCTGCCCCTAACATTCAAGCAAAGTTCAAAAAAAGAGTCCAAATATAAAATAAAAATAAAACAGCTGCCCTCGCTGGTTTGGCTCAGTGGATAGAGCATCGGCCTGGGGACTGAAGGGTCCCAGGTTTGATTCTGATCAAGGGTCATCTCCAGTAGTTGCGTGATCATCTCCAGTAGGGGGCATGCAGGGGGCAGCTGATCAATGATTCTCATAATTGATGTTTCTCTCTCTCTCTCCCTCCACCCTTCCTCTAAGTCAATAAAAACATAAATAAATAGATAGATAGATAGATAGATAGATAGATAGATAGATAGATAGATAGATAGAACGGCTAAGGCAGGACAGGAAAAAAAAGAGTGGGCACTCACCCCGGTATGAATTCAGTACCATCTGCTGAGTGAGGTCCCAGACCTTGATGCTAAGAAGCAAAAGGAAACAGATTCTTCAGTGGATTACAAAATCTCCAGGGAAACCTTATAGATATGCCATAATTAGTCACTGGGGTCTTATAATGAATCTCAAACGTTATATAACATAATAAGGCTAACCAAACAGAGAAGACACCCAAAGGAGGCATAGAGGCAGGAGTGCTGAGAACAAGGACTCACCAGAAGTCTTTGCTCCCGCTGACAGCCTGCGTGCCGGAGCGCAGGACCCCGACTGTACACACTATGTCATCGTGCTCATACTTGCAGAACTTGCTGACAATGAGCGTCTCATTGTCGTCCAGCTCCCACAATTCCACAGCACCTGTCAGGGATGGGATGGAGGGTGAGGGAAACAAGCTAGAATGATACCAACCCAGTAGTTCACTTCTAGGGCTTAAGTAGTCCATTGTCACTAAGCTAACCAGGTGATTCCGATAGAAGCAAAATCCCTATCATTAGAGGGGTTCGCTGTCTTCCAAGCCATTTGCCCTGATGCTGGTATTACTACTTTCCTAACAACAGTCCAAACAATTAGGTGGGGAAGGCTTCTAGGAAAAGATGAGCCAGCTGGTAAAATCCATCACTCCACTTCCAGGGAGAAAATACTGGGAAATAAGTTCCTGGGAGAAAAGGGATGGTATCGCCACAATCGTCTATGTGCACACAGTCCAGTGTGGTTAAAGCTTCCCAATTATAATAAATACTAGTAGCCCTGCGCACGAATCCATGTACTAGTAGGTCACTGCCGCCCTTTAGTAGCTCCTCCAAGTCCCCTTTCTCCTCCCCTTCTCCCCTCCCCTCATAGCTTGCAGCCCTGCTCCCTCCAGTAGCTCCCCAGCCCAGTAGTCTGCTGCTCCACCCTCCTGCAGTTCTGTGGTTGGTCCTTATGCCTCAGGGCATGATGTATAATTAGCATATTCCTCTCATTATATAGGATGATTTGTTGAACGTTTTCAATAAATGTCTTGCAGTCTTTAAAAATACGTTGAATAAGCCGAAATCGGTTTGGCTCAGTGGATAGAGCATCAGCCTGTGGACTGAAAGGTCCAGGGTTCGATTCCGGTCAAGGACATGAACCTGGTTGCGGGCACATATCCAGTAAGGGGTGTGCAAGAGGCAGCTGATAGAAGTCTCTCTCATCAATGTTTCTAACTCTCTATCCCTCTCTCTTCCTCTCTGTAAAAAAAAAATCAATGAAATATAATAATAATAAATACATTGAATAAGTCAACGGCTTGCACAGTGACTGGTTAAGTACTGAAAACACCCCAAAAGTTGGCTTGAATATATGTAGTGTTCAAGGGCCACTGCCAGAAGCTCAATTTTGAATTTCATGTAATGCCTGCCAACACGCCAATCCTGATCTTTTTTTAAAAATAACAAAATCTCCACTTCTGAGTCTGACATTCAAAACAAAGAAAGCAGAATAGAGACATTTCAGGAGAAAATGGGAAAATGTGGAAAGCGACACCAGAGATTGGCTTCAACGCTATCTCTAAGATTAAGACTCTCCTAGATCTGGATTGGGGGGTTATGGGGCAGGAGTTCTCCTTAGGGACCAACACCCTCAAGCTACCCTAAACACCGAGTGTGGGGCATGAAAGATTGGACCTAGCCCGACCTGTACCGCTTAGCCTTCATTGCACCTTTGGGGTTGAGGTTCAGAAAGTGACTCACCTGAATCGGAAGCCACTAGGATACCTCTGTCCCCGACCCAAGTGAGGTCAGCTACTCCGGCCTCCGTCTGGACTCCAGCGGAGCAGAAGCCTTCGTTGGGGGCGGCACAAGGGTCCTTGAAAAGCCAGAGGGAGCCAGCCCAGCAGCGGCCACTCAGGCTGGAAGCCCCGAGCAGGAGCGCCCCATCTAAGGGAGGGACAAGCTGTCAGCGCGTGGGGAATGCAAGGGTTCGTCTCCATGGCGACAGCTCCGAAACCCACGCGGGCTGAGGCTGGACGTGAGCTCAGGACCGCGGGGCACGGCTGGGGCCTGAGTTCAGAGAGGGATGGACGGGGTGGCAGGAGGGGCGGGGGCGGGCCAGAAGGAAGGGTCTCCGGAAGGGTCGCCCCGAGGGGAAGGGAGGGAGCCCCAGGCCCGGGATCTCGGCTCACCCGACCGGTACCGCGCAGCCTCCAACTGCCGCTCCATGCAGGCGGGTGCATTAGGGGGAAGGTTCCACTCGCGATCCTCCGGGGGCACGAGGGGGGGCGGGGTCTCCTTCCTCATCTCCACGGTTTCAGCGCCAACCTGGACCCAAACGGGACGCCGGCGGGAGACTCCAGCTCCGACGGTCCCCACGTGGTACCCCCACCTGGGCCTCCGCCCCTCTGGACTGGCTAGCGGCACTCTACATCTCGCGAGATTTGCTGCTTCGGGCTCCACTCCGCTTTCCAGCGGCCGCCCTCCCTCCGCGACTGGTAACGCCGCGCAGCGTGCCTCTTCTCGCGAGAATAAAGAACCGTGAGCGGAAGTTGAGGGAACGGAGGCTCGCGTTCTCTTCTCGCGAGACTTGCGGGCGGCCATCTTGCTCGGGCTCGGATAGAACCCTTCGCCCAGGTCACCGGGACGCCGAGACCGCGGAGCCTGCCCTCGCTGACCATGCTGTCCCGGGTGGTGTTTTCTGCAGCCGCCGCCGCGGGTGAGAGGCGTAGACCCGGGTGGGGCTGCCAGAGTGACTGTAGAGAAGCGCGTCCAGCGTTTATTTATGCGGAGCGGGCGGGAGGAAAGGGGCGGAAGAAAGGCCAGCGAGCCTCGGGCCTGGGCGGGGAGGTGAGCGTGAGGTCTCGGGGGGCAGTAAAGGGAGGCGAGTGGCCTTGGAGGTCGGGCCCCGCGGGGACCGAGGGAGGGACAGTGAGTGTCACCTTGAGCTTGCTGACCCGCGCCGTGTGTGTTTGCAGCGCCCTCGCTGAAGAACGCCGCCCTGCTCGGCCCAGGGTAAGTGAGAGGGGCCTGATCCCCCCCTGCGCCCTTGTTTTAGCCTCGCAATGCGCTTCTCTGTGACCTCCTAGCTTTGGGCCAGAAGTTACCTTTTTTTTTTTTTTTTTAAGTAATTTTGGGGACGCGTAGTCTCCTTCAAACACTTGGGCTTCTGCACCACCTAGAATATCGTCGTCGTATCCCAGAAGGGCAAAGTTGAAGGGTTTAGGGGATGTGTTCTAACTATATAAACTGGAAAGTGGTTTGAGGTCTCCTAAGCCCCGCCCCTCTCCCTGGTGACCTTGAGCTAGCCATAGCCGCCGCACCGCGAATCAGAGTTCCTGGCCTCGGCATGTTTGCAGACCCAAGCACAAGTTTGTGCTTTGTTTTTAATTCAGTGCGCGGGGGGTGACGTTGGTTAATAACATTAAGTCTCAAGGGCACGGTTCCATAACACATCTCCTGCATATTGCATGGTGTGCTCACCACCCAGAGTCTAGTCTCCTTCCCTCCCCGAATATTTGACCCCCTTTACCCTCTCCAGCCTTCCCCCAGCCCTTCTCTGGGCACACCGCTGTCTGTGTCCATGCGTTTATTTGTTTTGTTCTGTTGCTCTCTGTTTCCATATCCCACCTATGAGTGAACAGGCTCTTTAAAATAAAAATGAAGCCCGTTGGCTTGCATTCTGTCTCCCAGATTCGGACTTTTGCTGCCAGGCGAGAAGAGTTAGCGATGGATTCAGTAGCTGTTTATTTGCCAGCCAGAGAGAGAAAATGAGGACGGCTTTATGGAGCTCACTCTCCACAGAGGAGGTACCTACCTGTAGGAGCAGGGTTTAGAGCGGCGATTTTCAACCGGCGTGCCACAAGGATTTTACAACGGGAGGCTGGTTGGATTTGGCAGTTTTTAAGCGAAAGGCACACCGTGCAGAAGGAGCAGCATGTCGCCTGTTTTTGGTTTTTGTTTGTTTTTGAGAGCTGTACTTCTTTATGGCTAGAGGATAGAAGAATGAAGGAAGGAAGGTGAGGATCTAAAATTTGACAGGTGCTCCATCATGTGTGCTGTATTAAGTAGTTTTGTTTTTTTTGTAGGCTTTACGTAAAATTTGCATTTTAAAAATATTGGCAGCAGGGTGCCAGGGGCTAGGATAAGAGGTATTTGACTAGAAGAAGACAGACCGGGTTTTGAATTATTAAGTTCAAGCAGGACATGAGGGCTTGAACTACGACAGCCAGCTGAGGAGAGGATTTGTGTCCAGTTCTCCAATGCTGTGATTAAAACCGGAGGTCCTCGGCCTGGGCCAGTGCTGGGACATGGAGGGGGGGTGCTGCACTAGATCCTTCCAGTGTGTACAGACACAGGACACAGAACAGTCTACTTCCCCAAGTATTGTCAGCAGTCCCAACTGTCATAGTGCTAAGGTTGAGAAACCCTGATTTAAATGAGAGAATCTTGAGCATGATTCTCAGATTTCAAAAGTTGGTGGGGTGTTGAAACTAAAAGAAAATACTATAGAGTGTAAACTGTAATTCAAAAAGATAAAAAACAGTAATGTTAAAAAGACAAGCAGTGAACCACAATCAAAGAAATAATATAAACTCTTACATTGCAAGGGGCTAGAGGTACAGAGAGTTGGGAGGGGCAAAAGCATATCGAGTATTTGAAGAAGACTGCTTGACAGCTAATAGGAAAACGCCTAGTGGATTTCATTTATTTCATCTGAAACAGTGAGACCCCAATTTGCTATAACTGCTAAAAATGGAATCTTAGGCTACTTCAGTACAAGAATAATTTGCAACAAAATCAGAGAGCTCCTTGTGGTGTACAGTCAGGATTGTGTGGGGAGTGAGAGGTTTAACCCAGATACACTAGTAAGAGCGTTATCTTCATACAGAGAAAGATAAAACCAGAACCAATGAAAGGAGGTTTCAAGACATACATAGCCGTTCAATTCAAAGATGAACATAATTTGAGCTTTCCTGTTTCACATAGTGCTGGTCAGCACCCATCCCAGAGAATATTCAAATAGGTCACAGTTCTTACCATCAGGGAGCTCATAACACAGTGGACATGTAATAGTTAGCCACTTACATAGGACTCTAACACATGCCAAGTATCATTCTAAGCAGGTTTAGGATTTGAACCCAAATAGTTAGCCTTCGGTCTATGTTCTTTTATATTTCCATGCTGATAATAGATTACTGATGAGGCTTACAGAAGGGATTCTAGTTTGGTGTAGATTAGATATGACTTTATGTAAGCCATTTGTCCTTGTCACACAGCTAATCATTAACCCTAACCTTCCTGTTCTTGGTCTGTTCTTTCTGTTATGACCTTTTTGTTCTTGGTCTTTCTCTTGCCTCAGTCCTTATCCCCATTCATTGTTTCTACTAACTTCATACACTGAATAGGCTTTAAATGTGTGTAATTGCTACCTTAGGGCATTGCAGGCAACAAGGATCTTTCACACTGGGCAGCCAAGTCTTGCCCCACTACCACCTCTTCCTGAACATGGAGGAAAAGTTCGTCTTGGGCTGATCCCTGAGGAATTCTTCCAGTTTCTTTACCCTAAAACCGGAGTAACAGGTGAGCATTTACCCAGTATTGATAGCATGTTTGGACTGTGTGATTTATGTTAACCTGGGATTTGGGCAGCCGCTTACCTCTTCACGTACACCACAAAAATCAAGCCAGTTGTTTTAAATGTACTTGTGGAAGTGATTCATAATAACAGTTTAGTTGCTCTAACTTGTCTTTGGAATAAATTTGTATGGGGTTTTAATTTGACTTTTAACATTGTTTCCATTTGTTGATAATAATAAATTTATTGAATGCCTGCTCTATGCCAGGCACTGGTCTAGGCATGCAGCGGTGTGCCATCACAGAACGTATATTCTATTGTAGGATACACAATTAAGAAAGAAACAAGTCACTGTAATATACTATCTAATAGAAATAGCTGTGAATTAGAATAAGGTCAGGTAAGGCAGTAAATTGTATATGTAAGTATGAAAACAGAAAGTGGGCTGTGTTTGTTTTTCCCCTTTCAAAAAAGCATAAAATGTTGTAAAACATTGCATTTTTATAATGCAACTAGAGACCTGGCGCATGGATTTGGGCACTGCTGGGTCCCTCAGCCTGTCCTGCACGCTTGTAACCCGGGACCCCTCTGGGGATGTCGGATGGTCCAGAAACGTCTGTTGAGCAGCTGTGCTAGGCACTTTATTTTTTTCTTTAACGTTTTTATTGATTTTATAGAGGGGGGATGGAGAAAGTGATAGAAATATCAGTGAGAGAAACATCGATTGGCTGCCTCCTGCACACCCCCTAGTGGGAATTGAGCCCACAACGTGGGCATGTGCCTTGACCAGGACTCAAATGTGCCTGGGATATCACTCAACCATTGAGCCACAACAGCCGGGCTGTGCTATGCACTTTACATACATTATTTTTAATTTCATCAACCCTGTGAAGAAGGTACTGTTTCCATTTTACAGATGCGGAATCTAAGCCTAGAAATTACTTACATTCCCCAGTTTCTCATAAGTTGTAGAGTCAGATTTCTTTGAGTTCAGATCCTTGTTCTCTCAACTCTACCATAATGCTTCTCAATCCAGTGTTCTGTCTTTGAGTCCAATTATTTTAATCATTATTTGGCCTTCAACTAATTAAATGCAGAATTATCTTTCTATCTTACTCATCATAAAATAACTTCTTCCTTTCTTCAGGACCCTATGTGCTCGGAACTGGGCTTATCTTATACTTTCTATCCAAAGAAATCTATGTGGTTACTCCAGACACCATCTCTGCTGTATCAACAATAGGGTTGCTTGTCTATATCATTAAAAAATATGGTGCCTCTATTGGGGAATTTGCTGATAAACTCAATGAGGTAAGAACCAATAAACCTTATTTCCCATTTGAGACCATAGTAGAAGTATCAAGGCCATCAAGTGATGTTTTTGATGATATATTCAGTATAATTAAAAATTAATCTAATTATAATGAGTACAATTACAGGTGTTTATATGCTACTAATTTGAGATCAGAAATCAGAAATTTTTAGAAATCTACCAAACTTTCTCCAGCTTTTCCATGGTTTTGTTCATCCAGCAGATATTGTGTAGCTGTCATGGGCAATTCTTTTCAAGGATTTGTGCATTTCTCCCTATATGTGTGTATGTTTCTGTCTTTTTATAAATGAGGGATATAACTTTGAGGAAAAATGAAATGAATTTTTTTTTTTACTCTTGGTACTTTCACTGATCTTTGTTCTAAATATCATAATTGCAGCAAGAAATTGCCCAACTAGAAGAAGCGAAACAGGCTACCATCAAAGGCATCCAGGATGCGATTGATCTGGAGAAGTCCCAGCAGGCACTGGTTCAAAAGCGCCATTACCTTTTTGACGTCCAGAGGGTAAGTTTCAGAACTTTCTAAGGAGAATGAAGTTACTCATTTGTATGCATTAAAAAAAATAAATAAACTCTCTTACATGAGGAATGGCTGGAGATTGAGCATATTTTACTTAGAAAAGAGAAGATTTAGGTGGGGGTTGGCAGTACAGGCTGTTTAGACATTAAAGACCTATCAGGTGTGTAAATGTTATTACTCTAAATATTAGAAAGAGCTAAAATTATAAATCCACATAAAAGGAAAATGGTCATTAAGTTACAGCTGATTAAAGAATGGAATTCACTGTGTAAGGCACGTCACGAAGAAACACGTTTGCTGTAAGAAAATCTGATACTTACATTCCAAATTTATAAGCAGATTCAGATAGTAGTAGAGCTTTTTACCATGGTCAGAGCAGAATTAGATTCTAAAATATTGTGGTACGATGTTAACTAGATTCATTGTGGTAATCGTTTCACAGTATATACAAAGTCATTGAATGCGTGAAATTAACATAGAGGTCAATTACACTCAATTAAAAAAAAACAATTTGTAAACTAAATGTTGAAGTGCAAATAGTTTTCATCATTTCTTAATTTTGCTTCAGAATAACATTGCTATGGCCTTGGAGGTCACTTACCGGGAACGGCTGCATAGAGTGTACAAGGAGGTCAAGAGTCGCATGGACTATCACATCTCTGTGCAGAACATGATGCGTCGGAAGGAACAAGAGCACATGGTGCAGTGGGTGGAGAAGCATGTGATGCAGAGCATCTCTGCACAGCAGGTACATGGCGTTTGAAGCTTCTGGACGTGGAGTGGGGTCTCTGACAGGTGTCCGCTGGTGGCCCGGCCAGTTTTTAGAGACAATCTCTGATTGGTTTTTCTGAATGGTAGAACCTAGAATATGCTGCACCGCTACCTGGGTGGCTCCCGCCTCCTCCTTTAGAATTTGGCTAAAAGGCCCCTTAGCTCAGCTCAGAACAGTAGATTGTTCAGAACACTGGGTGTTGCAGACTGTGTTCAAGTTCATCATTTGGGAAACATTAACCAACACATTTAATTTCTCTATAAAACAGGCTGGACAAGGCTGTTTCTGAGCCCCTTCCATTTCCTAATTTCATGATTTTCATTCTATTCCTCTTTCCCAATACCTGATTTATTGGTCTTGAACAGAAATTTACCTATATTTGATTTCCTTTTTAAAAATTATGTTCTTTATTTACTTATGACATGATTTCTTCTTTCCCAGATATATAGTGTTATATTAATGAATTGTTTTTTTTAATAAACTTTTATGTAAAAATAACATATCTTTAAAAGCTGGAAAATGTAAAAAAAAAATGCAGCAAGTAAAAGAAGTTATTTTCATTCTTAATTCAGTATTGCTAATGTTTGCTCTTTTCAAGCAGCTAGCAGCTGTATAGCTCACACCAATGGCATGTGGTTTCAGGAGTAACTGGCTTCAAACTTGACAAGGATTTCACTTATAAAAGCTATGAGCTAGGGGATTTTTTTAAAAATAAATTGTTTCTTCCCTGTGTAAATAAGTAAATAATTCCTATTAGTCTATTATATTAAGTCAGTAATACAACCAAAGATTGTGTAAGAATCTCAAGGCTTTGTATGAGATAAGAATTATGTGTTTATATCTTTCCGTGATTTGGAAAGATCTAACCAGATTTCTCTTTCCTTATCACAGGAAAAGGAGACAATTGCCAAGTGCATTTCAGATCTAAAGCTGCTTGCAAAGAAAGCTCAAGCAGAGCCGGTTATGTAAATGCATCTATCCTGACTGAGAGAAGGCTAGAAACACTTGAGTGACTGACTGGAGACTAGGCTGTGACAGAGGCTTTCTATGTCGCCATCTGCTGGAGTTACAGTTTACACTACTTAAAATGAAAAGCGCGAGTTTCATCTAGTGAGAGAATTAAAACTATATTGGCCAGTAAGATGTTTATTGTCCTTCTTGCTGTGTATTTTGAGTTCTATAATCACTTTTGAATCAGCAGTTTCCTTTTACTACAGTTTTGAACCCGACTAAAGATTACCAAGTTATAATTTAAATTTGTAATTAAATTTGAAACAATAAATGACAGTTGAAACAAGGCTTTTTTCAAATTGCATAATCTTCTGAAATACTATTTCAACATTTGCCATATGGATAAAAATTAAAGATGTCATTGAAATGATATTCTTGTTTATAAGACCATTATTATTGGTAAGCTGCTTCTGGCTAACTGACAGGTATGGACAATTTAAGGGTTTTTAAAATAATGAAAGGGACTATTGAACATCAAGCCATTCCATTTACTTTGTATTAATTTTAGTAATATATCAATGGAAAATATTATCAACTCAATGTGTCATAAAATTGCTTTTAAGAATCCAGTAGATAGCCCTAGCTGGTTTGACTCACTGTATAGAGTGTTGGCCTATGGACCAAAGGATCCCGGGTTCTCTTACTGTCAAGGGCACACACCCATTTGCAGACTTCTCCTGGGCGTGGGCCCTGGTCAGGGGATGTGTTTCTGTCTGTCTTTTCCTCTTTCACTCCCTAAAAATCAATGGAAAAATATCTTCGGGTGAGGGTTAACAAAAACAAAAAAGAATCCAACAGATAAAGTTCTGCACTTCCATAGGTTTGTCTGCATTTCTTTCATGTTTACACGTTTTACTTGTACACAAATGGGCAACTTACATAATAGGAAATATTTGGAAATTTGTATCCTATGAGTACTATTTTCTTGACTTTCTGTGATTTTAACTTAGTAAAATTGGTCCAATATTTATTGATGGCTAATATATTCATTTACTCTAGAAATCAGATTGTATAAGGAATTTGACTTGATGCTGTCAGTGAGCTGGTTAAAGCAGTCCCTCTCTTTGTTTCTAATGAAGGAGCTTGAAGTTCACAGAACAGCCAGTTAAGAAGGGATAATGGATATAAAGTGGGAGAGGGTAGGAATGAGTGAAAATCACAAGTACACACTGACATCATCAGTTTTATTACCTCTGACCTTGATGGTAAGATTGTCCTACAAAACCCTAGGCCCTTCATCACACATACGTAGTGCGAAGGTTGGAGAAGCTGAAGGATGATCCAGAGAAAGATTGGGAAGTTGCAGACCTGGCTGCAACGGAACTGGTGGACCAACAGATGACAACATACATGGGCTGCAAAATAGTCGCCTCACATCCGCCCTCTAAACTTGCTCAAGAATCTCTTGCAGCTCACTCTCACTAGAATATTCAAGGAAGAGAATTCTGAAAAGTATAGTTCAGTCTAACCAAATCGATGTTATGAACCACCATATGTTAACTATCCTGCCAAATGTTAACCGAATGAGTAAAACTTGAAGCAAAAATTCTGGTCCTTAGAAGTCAATGAAAGCATCTAGTAAAACATGGAGAACAGAAAAGCCACAGGTTGGAAAAGAAATGGAGTCTGGCTGGCATTGAGAGGAAGTTAGCCAAGGAAGTTGGCATTGGAATCCAGGAAGGTGGAGCAGCATCTGAGTGTAGAGAAGCCCTGGAGGAGAGTAGCATTTTTTAAACTCAAGAAGTTAAAGAGTAAAACATAAGTAAGGAATTATATTCCAGTCCCTAAATTCTATGCTTGGAAGTTAGACTTTGTTCTGAAGACGGGAAGCCAATGAAAAAGGTCTAAAGCAGAGAAATGATGATTAGATTCTTGTTTCAGAACAATCGGTAGCAACAAGAAGGTGGTTTGGAGATAGGATGCTCGCTCATTCTAACTAAAGGGCATTGAAGACCTTAACAAAAGGCCTTCGCAGTGTGGATGGGAAGAAAGGAGTTATACTAGAGGCAACATTAGTAGGACTTGTGCAGGGAGACTATGGAAGAAGGAGTGATGAGTTAGTTTTCTCGCTTGAGAGAAGAAAAGGAGGCACTGTTTACTGTGATTTGGAATAGGAGGATGTCTCTTGGTCTAGGTCAGTGGTCGACAAACCGCGACTTGCGAGCCACATGCGGCTCTTTGGCCCCTTGAGTGTGGTAAAGCCACTTCTTCAAAATAGACTCGCCCAGGCCAAAAACTGACTTCTGCACATGGGTCATGAAGTTTCAGTCGCACTGTACATGTGCGCCCACACGTTGTATTTTGTGGAAGAGCCACACTCAAGGGGCCAAAGAGCTGCATGTGGCTTGCGAGCTGCGGTTTGCTGACCACTGGAATAGTGAAACTCCAACTCCCCCCTCAGGTTTGGCTTGTGTCTCTCCAGGAAGCCCACCCTGGTTCCTGTGTCACAGGCACACAGCCTGAGGGGTCTGCTCCTTCACAGCCATGGGGTTGCTACCCTTTGGTCCCAGCCTCCTACTCAGAGTTCCATGAAGGAGGAAGGCCGTTTTTTGCTCACCGCGGTATCCTCAGAACTTACGCTCATCCATGGCACACACAATTGTTCACTGTGGCGTGGGTGAAGACATGAATTCTCTTAGCCACTGAGATTCAAAAACTTGGCATCATCATTGACTAAGGTGACCAGACGTCCTGCTTTTTAACAATTTGTCCCGCGTCCCGCGGCGTTTTAAAAAAAGTATTCACTGCGGGACTCGGGACAAATTGTTAAAAATCGGGACGTCTGGTCACCCTATCATTGACTCATCCTGCTGTTTCATTCCCGGAACCATGTCCCACGTCTTAGAACTTCCAACCTTCAAGCAGGTTTCCTGGGGCTTCCTCCCTGTTCCTGCTGCTGGTGCCTCTATTAAATACCTAAAATGCTGGCTTTTGCCCTCCTCTCTTCCTCTTCCCACACCTCATCTTGTGTGATGTAGAACCCTCTTTAACGGCCATGTTTATTGTGTTCCAATTAAAAAATCGTTTGTGGCTCCTTATTAACAACATTTATTGCTTGGATTGAGAGGCCTTTACGATTTGGCTGAAGTACATCTTTGGAACGATTTTTTACTTCCCACCTCTTACAAATGCCCCACCCTTCCCCCTTGCTGATATCTCAGAAATCCATCTTGGGGCTGAGGCACTCCTCACTCACACTGTTTCTCCTCCCTCTGTCCAAACCCCACCCTTGCGTCAAGCCCAGCCCCAGGCGTGAGCATATAGCCTACCCGTGGTCGCAAACTCATTAGTCCACAGAGCCAAATATCAACAGTATGTACAACGATTGAAATTTCTTTTGAGAGCCAAATTTTTTAAACTTCTAATGCCACTTCTTCAAAATAAATGTATTTTGTGGAAGAGCCACACCCAAGGGGCCAAAGAGCCGCATGTGGCTCACGAGCCGCAGTTTGCTGACCTGTGGGCCTAGCCCTAGTCTGACTCCCAGCTCTGCTAGCTCCTCCCTCATTGAGTTCCCCTGTTCTCCCAGGCCTCGCTGCCTGGCCACCTCTGTCCTGTCCTACGGTTCTCACCGTACGTGCCTGCACCTGCTCCTTCCGGTCACCCGTGTTCTCTAAAGACGTCCTCTCATTCACTCGTGAGCATGGCATCCTGCTGCTTCTCTTCATGGCCTTTAAGGCAACCCAGGATGATCCCTTCGCTCATTTAGCACATCTTTCCAATTAGATGGTAGCGCCAACAGGAACCTCTCTGTCTTGCTCTCAGAATTACCCACCACACCCAGCCCACTGTACGACCCATCGTAATTATTTACTGAGTATATTTATTGATGCTGTTTTATGAATAGACGTTTATAAATGATTTGCCTTCTCTTTCAAGGGCTCTCCATGCTCTTAACACACAGTCTGCACAGCGGGCACTTAACTCTAACATGACTGTCCAGTGTCTTTTATTGCTTAGAATAAATGACACAGTGAGATGCTTGATGACAGTGATCATGTCATAACTGCTGTGACCCCCATAGTATCCGCTGTGTGGTTGTTCCAAGTGTCCGTAATTAGAAATAAAGTCTTATCCCTTGTGCTCGAACATTCATGTGTCCAAAGATACGAAAGTTTTCTGCTTATGGGATTAAAAAAAATTCAGTGTTGGCCTCAAAGAGGAAGTCTGCCCTCAAGTTTAGTTGATTGACAGTGGCAGCAATTATTTCGTCATTTCTAAAAAAACAAGAGTAGCCACGGAAGCAAAAGTTCAGTTTTAGACGGGGCATTTCATGACTGGACTTTTCAAGGTAAGTGTCTTTATCCCACGTTTTTAATCTAACACAGAATAATTGCTCTCCAAAGAAAAATGTCCTCTCATTGGTAATGGTTTCTATCATTTCTTTTTCTTTACAACTTTATTTGGTAGGGGGGGAAGGGTTATATTTGAATGCCTGTGTTGAGTTGGTTAATTTAATGGCAATCTGGAAGATTCTCTCTGGTGCCTGACAAAACGTGAAAGGGTATGTATGGCATCGTTTCTATTTTAATTTATGCTTTTGTGACTGTGTGAGTGTTTTTAAAGGGACATGTGTTTCTTTTCTCAACCTGGATCTGTAAGTGGCTATGGCCCTGTGGTTCTGTGGGATGATTGGGTCTTTCAGGGTTGGATGACTCAACTTTTTTTTTTTTTAAATATATTTTATTGATTTTGTACAGAGAGGAAGGGAGAGAGATAGAGAGAAACAATCGATGAGAGAGAGTCATTGATCAGCTGCCTCTTGCACACCCCCTACTGGGGATCTGCCCGCAACCAAGGTACATGCCCTTGACCGGAATCGAACCTGGGACCCTATCCATGCTCTATCCATTGAGCCAAACCGGTCCCGGCGTATGACTCAACTTTTTGTCCAGGTGGTAACGTTTCTTTGGGAGAGTTGCAGATTCAGAGGCACTGATGTAAAGGTTAAGATTATACAGATCCCTAGCTGGCTTGGCTCAGTGGATAGGGCGTCAGCCTGTGGACTGAAGGCCCAGGTTAGATTCCAGCCTAGGACACATGCCTGGGTTGTGGGCTTGATCTCCAGTAGGGGGCATACAGGAGGCAGCCAACCAATGATTCTCATCATTGATGTTTCTATCTCTTTCTACTTCTCCCTTCCTCTCTGAAATCAATTATACACACACACGCACACACACAGAAATCTACCATGCTCTTCTATTTCACCTCCCAGGGGTAAGGTCTAGTATAAGTTAATAGGATTAGTCCCTACTCCATTTATTTAGCACAAACATATATTTCAATATATTTAAAATGCTATCTAAATATTTTATGGTGCTTGACAAAGAGGATCATTGCCTTTTGAGTGAAAACAGGAACAGAAAAAGTGCTGGGAAGCTAGTTTCCACTGCTGATTCTGCTGTTTATGGTGAGCGTCCGGTTCTCCCAGGTCACACTTCTCTCACCCGCTTCCTCTGTGGCCTTTCTCACTGTCCCACACGCATGATCTGAAAACATCTGGTCAGATTGTGAGGTACTTCATAGAAGGTTGCTGTTGCTACTGGTCCCTGGCAGTGAGGTCCTGCTTCCAAACCTCCCTGATGCCACAGAACTTGGAGGATTCAGTTTTGAGAGCTGAACAAATAACTAGTGGCATTTGTTGTCTAAATAAATTACCTTTAAAACACAATAGATACAGCAAAGCCAAAAATTCTTAGAATGGGTTTCCTTAAATATGAAATGAAAGTGTGGCCTCCTAGAACTGTTTTATTTTAAAATAATAACTTGTAAATAATAAACAGGGAACTGGTTAAACAAGCCATAATACACAGCTGTAACAGAAAAATCTATCACCATGAAAAATATTGAGAAAGTTTTTAGTGGAATGGGAGAATGTCTATAATAAAAAGCTTTGTGTGTTTTTTTAATGGATATATGAAGATATATCTCAACTAGCCTTTTAAAACATGCATGGCAAACACTCTGATTTCACTTATATGTGGAATCTTTAAAAATCAAACTCATCGACAGAATAGATGCCAGAGACAGAAGAGGGCGTGGGAGGTGTTGAAAATTGGTGAAGATAGTCAAAGGTATAGACTTTCAGTTACAAATAAGTCCTGGAAACAGCATGGTGATTCTCCTAAATAATAAAAGGCTAATATGCAAATCGACCAAATAGTGGAACGACCAGTCACTATGACGCACACTGACCACCAGGGGGCAGACACTCAATGCAGGAGCCGGGTTCACGCAAAGCTAAGGATGTCCAGCGCCGTCAGTATGACACTCCCTGAGGGCTCCCAGACTGTGAGGGGGCACAGACCAGGCTGAGGGACCACCCCCACTGTCCCAAGGGCACAAATCTTGTGCACCCTACCTCTAGTAGTTAATAATACTGTATTGCACATTCTAAAATTGCTAAGAGAGTAGATCTTAAACATTTTTATCATAAAAAAAAGTGTAACTGTGAGATGATGGATGTTAACTAAACTCATTTGATATGTATATCAAAACATTAATTGGTATACCTTAAACTAATACAATGTGATATTTCAATTATATCTCAATAAAACGGGGGTGGGGTAAGCGAAAAACTAAAAATATTTAGAATTCGTGGAATTACAAAAAAAAGGAAATACCCTAAAATATTAAACTATGGGAAGTGGTGGTTTAGATGACTTGACTTCTGCTTTTTGGTGCTTTATACTTTTTGGTACAAATACATAAAAAAAAAAAAAAATAGAGGGAAATATAGAAAGCTTGATATATAACAAATAGGACCATAACCTAGGTGAGAATGTTTTCACTCTAAAAGACAATATGGAAACAGAACAGAAGAGTCTGATGGAACCTAGCGGAAGGACATCCCGCAACAAAAATTTGTAAACGTTCACTCCCTACTGCCATGGGAGAGGGAGGCAGACGCATCAGACCTAGATGATACTCAGTTCAAAATATCCTTTCATCTCCCATCCTTATTTCAATTCCATGCTCACCAAGCAAAATCAAGTTTTTCATTGGCTTTCTTATATGTTCTGGTTGCTACTCGTTATACCAACACGTTCCTTATGTCATTTCAGTTTATACATCAGTCTCTGAGTTGGTTCGTGGAAGTTCTTGTGTAGTCAATTCTAGGTGCCCTGATAAGATCAAACTCCTGGACCTGCAGAGCTGAGGACTGACTGCTGAGCTGTGGCAACCACACCACATAAAGTCTGTGACCACCGACCTCACTGGAACACTCGTCATGACTTGCCTCTCCTTGTTACTGCTCCTCTAGCGAGGTCCCGGTTGACCCGTCCACTGCCTCTCCTTCCCAGGCTTTCTCAGAGGTTCCTTCTTTATTGCGGGGGAAGACAGAATGGGAGGGGGTGCTTCCAAAGAGGATCTCAGCACTGGTAAGTTCAGGGCAGAAACCGTTACCTGCCTCTCGGCCGGGTGAGCGTGAGCTGGAATGATTGGAAAGTGCGCTGAACGGCTGTAATGGGATAACGTTTCTGAGGTTGGAGGGATCAGAATTCACCATGATGCCGTAATACCAAGGAGAGTGAACAGGGGAACCAGAGAGAACTGTCTGATCCTCTGAATTTGAGAATAGAGTGTCTCTTTGCTTGGTATTAGACCAGCTGGGTGGTTTGCGGAAATCTAGCTTACTTCCCTTACTCCCCGCCCCATTTGTGGTGTGAGGGTTGGGAAAACTCACCGTGGCTGCCTTTGGCTTCACTTCAAACAAATGAAATGGGGAAAAAAAATTATAAGGCAGTGGGTACCAAGGTAAGGTTCCCAAGGACCTTGGGAAACACTAGTTCTAGGATTCACTTTAGATACTCGACTCCCTGGCCTTGAGATTCTCTGAGGGAGACACAGGAGATGTTTATCAAAGGGATATATGGGCTTATCAAAGGACATACGCTAGGCTTTTATTTGTGTAGCTGATGGTTTTTTAAGTTCCTGTTCTAATTTCTATGTTAAAGTACTCAGGACCTAAGGCAGGATGTTCTCTCCATTTGAGGAGTTGTAGCCCCTGTCTTTATCTCCACTGGTTACTTGGATAAGTGGCAGATACATTAATCCCCTTCATGTTCTCTCATAGGCAAACAAATCCACACCACAGCAGCTCCAAAAAGTACCTCTGCACCCTGCCCTTCCGAGTAAGTGAGCATTCTCCCACCCACTTCCTCTTATACTACACTAGAGGCTCGATGCACAAAATTTGTGCACGGGGGTGGGGGAGGTATCCTCAGCCCAGCCTGCACCCTCTCCAATCTGGGATTCATAGAGGGATGTTTGACTGCCCTGTGGGATCAGGTCTAAATGGGCAGTCGGATATCCCTCTCACAATCCAGGACTGCTGGCTCCCAACTGCTCACCTGCCTGCCTTCCTGATTGCCCCTACCCACTTCTGCCTGCCAGCCTGATCACTCCCAACCACTCCCATGCCAGCCTGATTGATGTCTAACTGCTCCCCTGCCAGCCTGTTTGCCCCCAACTTTTCTTCTCTGCTGGCCTGATCACCCCTAACTGCCCTCCTCTGCAGGGTTGATCACCTCCAACTGCCCTTCCTTGCAGCCTGGTGACTCCCAACTGCCCTCCCTTGCTGGCCATCTTGTGTCCACATGGGGGCAGGATCTTTAACCACATGGGGGCAGCCATCTTGTGTGTTGGAGTGATGGTCAATCTGCATATTACTCTTTTTATTAGATAGGATAAAGGCCTGGCGCATGGGTAGGGGCCAGCTGGTTTTCCCTGAAGGGTGTCCCAGATCATGGTGGGGGTTCCCTTGGGGCATGGGGCGGCCTGGGTGAGGGGCCTGTGGTGGTTTGCAGGCCAGCCACGCCCCCTGGCAACCCAAGCAGAAGCCCTGGTATCTGGGATTTATCTTCTATAATTGAAACTTTGTAGCCTTAAGTGGAGGCCAGGGCAAGCCAGGGTTGCAGAAAGCTTGGTTTCCTCCATTGCCGGGGGGCAACTCAAGCCTCCTGCTCTCTCCAGCTTTGTGGCTGCCGCCATTTTTGTTGGGATTTATTTATCTTCTCTAACTGAAACTTTATAGCCTTGAGTGGAGGCCAGGGCCGGCCAGAGCAGTTGGGAAGCTTGCCTTCCTCCATTGCCAGAGAAACGCACACCTCCTGCTCGCTGTGTGACCATAGCCATCTTGATTGGGTTAATTTGCATACTTGCATACTTGGCTTGTGGGCAAGGCAGAAGTATGGTCAATTTGCATGTTTCTTTTTTATTAGTGTAGATATCACATCTTCTTTATTCATTTGTCTATTGGTGAACACTTAGGTTGTTTCTATATCTTGGCTATTGTAAATAATGCTGCAATGAACATAGGGGTACATGTGTCTTTATAATTAGTGTTTTGGATTCCTTCAAATTCTACATAAAAGTACATAAAGCAGTTCCATTTTTTTATTTCTTTAGGAACCTACATACTGTTTTACATAGTGACTGCACCAATTTATAACCCACCAACATTGCACGAGAGTTCCCTCTTCTCCACATCCTTGCCAACACTTATTTGTTGACTTATTGATGATAGTCATTCTGACAGGTGTGAGGTGATATCTCAATGTGGTTTTAATTTGCAATACCCTGGTGTTGAATACACTTACATATGTTTATTGGCCACCTGTATGTCCTCTTTGGAGAAATGTCTACTCAGGTCCTCTGCCCATTTTTTAACCAGTTTGTTTTCTTGGTGGTGTTTTATGAGTTGCTTATATATTCTGGATATTATTGAATCTATCATTGGCAGTAGGTTGTCTTTTTGTTTTTATTTTTTTTAAAATATATTTTATTGATTTTTTACAGAGAGGAAGGGAGAGAGATAGAGAGCTAGAAACGTCAATGAGAGAGAAACATCGACCAGCTGCCTCTTGCACACCCCCTACCGGGGATGTGCCCACAACCAATGTACATGCCCCTGACCGGAATCGAACCTGGGACCTTTCAGTCCGCAGACCGACGCTCTACCACTGAGCCAAACTGGTTTTGGCTGTTTTTATTTTTGATGGCTTCCTTCACTATGCAAAACCTTTTTAGTTTGATGTAGTCTCATTTTGTTGTTGAGATCTTTCCCTTGCCCAAAAAGAGACATCCAAAAAGGTATTACCAAGAGCAATGTCAGAGAGTTTATTGCCTATGTTTTTTTTTTAGGAGTGTTATGCAGGTTTTACTTTTTAAGTACTTAATCCATTTTTGTTTATTATTGTACGTGGTGATCCAGTTACATTCTTTTGCAAGTGTCTGTCCAGTTTTCTTAACAGTGTTTATTGAAGGGACTGTCTTTACCCAGGGACTGTCTTTACTGTATATTCTTTCCTCCTTTGTCAGAGATTAACCACAGAGGCATTGTTTGGTCTGCACTGAAAGGAGGCAGGCCAAAGATGATGTGAGGGTTTAAGAAATTTTATTACTTTCTCTCATAGCCAGCTGAGACCAGTGTGTCAGTGTCAGCCCTGAGTGGGTGGTTACGCTCTCTTATATAGGGTAGAAATATGCAGAAATAGGGTCAAGATGTGTGTGCACAAGTTGGTCAAGCAGTTGGGCAGGGGCTGGTCAAGGGAGGAGAGTAAACAAGTCAGCTAGAGGGAAGGTCTTCTTATCTTGCTTCTGCAGGCACCAGCCATCTGCTCCAAGCTATGGGGAAAGGCTTATGACAATACATATTTCAGAAAACATGTCCAAGTAAGAGAGATTAGGGGTAGTTCATCTTAACAGGCATGGGCTTATTTCTGGGTTCTCTAATCTACTCCATTGACCTATGTGTCTCTTTTGAGGCTAGTATCATGCTGTTTTAATTACTATAGCCTTGTGGTATAGTTTGATATTAGCGTGATACCTCCAACTTTGTTCTTCTTTCTCAAGATGGCTTTGGCTATTCAGGGCTTTTATGGTTACACACACATTTTAGGATTATTTGTCCTAATTATGTGAAAAATGCTGTTGATGTTTTTGTAGAGATTGCATTAAAATCTGTAGATTGCTTTAGGTAGCATGGACATTTTAACGATGCTAGTGCTTCCTGTACATGAGTACAGTATATGTAGCCTTTCATTATTTGTGTCGTCTTCAGTTGCTTGCTTTAATGTCTTATAGTTTTCAGTACAAATTTTTTGCCTCATTGGTTGAATTTATACCTAGGTATTTCATTCTTGTTGATGCAATAGTAAATAGGATTGTTTTATTAGTTTTTCTTTCTGATAGTTTGTTATTGATGTATTAAAAATGCAGCCAATTTCTGGTTATTTTGTATCCTGCTATTTACTGAGTTCATTTATTCTAATAGCTTTTGGTAGATTTTTTTTTAGGGTTCTCTCTATATAGTATCATGTCATCTGCAAATAAAAGACACTTTTACTTCTTCCCTTCCAATTCAGATGCCTTTTATTTCTTTTTCTTGTCTGATTGCTGTGGCTAGGACTTCCAATGCTATGTTAAATGAAACTGATGAAAGTGGATGTTCTCATCTTTGTTTCTGATCTTAGAGAAAAAGCTTTTAGCTCTCACTATGGAGTATGATGTTAGTTGTGGGTTTGTCATATATGGCCTTTATGATGTTAACGTATGTTCCCTCTATCCTCATTTTGCTGAGGGTATTTATCATAAATAGATTTTGGATTTTATCCAATGCTTTTTCTGCATCAATCTGATATAATTGTATGTTTTTCCCCCCCATTTTGTTTCTGTGGTATATCACATTAATAATTTGTGTATACCGAACCAGCCTTGCATTCCAGGAATAAATCCCACTTGGTCATAATGTATGACCTTTTTAATGTATTGCTGAATTCGGTTTACTAAAAATTTTTTTGAGGATGTTTACGTCTGTGTTCATGGCCTAGAGTAGTTTTCTTTTTTGGGGGGCGGGGTAGTGTCTCTGTCTGGTTTTGGTACTAGAGTAATGGTGGTCTTATGAGTTTGGGAGCTTTTTCTCCTTCAGTTTTTGGAATAGATTTACAACTATGAATATTTTTTTAGAGGGAAACGGAGTTCACAGCTTTCGTTGAGGCCTCAAATGGATCTGAAACCCGAAACCAAAAAGTTGAAAAGCAGTAGGAGGTGTGAAAGCTGTTTTAGAGGAAAAGGTTACACTCTGATCTTTAGGAAAGGCCTTCAAAAAGCCCAGAAGGTCATCTGTTCCCTCTTGTTTTGCCACAACAGCAAAGAACTTCATCTGGCCTTAGCCTTTCTTGCTGGGAGTCTACTGACATTGCTGCTGATGGCCCTTGTCTTCCTCATCGCAAAGAGCTACAGAAAATGTGAGTGGCCTCCGAGAGATGGGGCAGCGATTCTCTCTCTGCTGTTGAGAATAGAGTTAGCCTGGAATGGCTCCTGGAAAGAAGGGGATAAAACCTGCTCAGCCCACCTTCTCTGCAGACCACAGATTTGAATTCCTCCACTTCCCAGATGCCCTCCAGCCCCTCCACCTTTCCCACCTGCACCGCCTCCCTCCCAGCCCACCCCTTCAGCTAAGACGGAAGGGAGAGGCTTTTAAGGGCCTCCAGATCCCATTGGTGAGATGTGTTCCTTTCTTTCCTGGCCCTTATGGCAGATCACCCAAGTCCCCGAGCTCTGGATCCTCACTCAGATTCTCTTGCCAAGGTAAGATGGCCACGCTGTTTCCATGGCACTGGAGACCTGCTGCCATTTAATTCCCCTCTATGCTCTATGCTTCTCCGCTAAACAGTAGCATTGCTTTCTGGATGCTGGGCAGTGATGCTTTGAAGGTTTCTTCTGGTCGCTGGGTCTTCTCTTGACCGAAGCTTTCTAGTTGCTTCTGAAGAGACACATATCTTGAAATTGAACTAGCTCATTCCTCCTCCTTCTTCCTCTGTAGCTGTCATCCACCCAGGAGGCCCTCAGAACCTCAAAAGGAAAGAGAGACGACTTGATTGCAAACCCTTCTTCAGACTCGAACTCCGTTATCTATGCTCAGATTAAAGGGGCAAACTTTCCCTGAGTTTCCAATGAGGCTTGGATCCGGTTCCTCTCACGTCAGCTGCATCTTCATACATGGCTTTTCCTTTGTAGAAGATGTGGACCACAGTCTGGGTGAGACTGCAGATGGAGTTGTTTGGGTGTGATCTGGCAACCTTAGCCATCAGTTTTGTGACCAGGGTCAGTCTTTTTCCTGGACTAACAAAATGGAAGGCCCCTGAGGGCCGAGACTGTCTCTCTTTGTCCTCTTCCAGTGTGCGCTACAGGCTCAGTGCACCAAGAGTGCTCACTCGGTGTCATCGATCAACTTGGGAAAAGGCAACCAATCTAACAATCCATCAAGAATTACAAATAAAAGCAAACCCTCTGTGATGTTGGCAATTCTTCATCATGTGACCCTGTTAACTCCAGATACCAGGGCCAAAAGATCTCCAAGTGATGTTAAAGGAAAAGGCATGCAGTTGAACAGATTTCTACATATTCTTGATTCATGTAGAAAATACCTGTGTGTGTGTGTGTGTGTGTGTGTGTGTGTGTGTGTGTGTCTGTGTGTGGTGCATACATGCGTGCACACCTGTGTTTGTATCCTAGATAAAGAGTATTCCAAAAAATGTATACACATTTTAATAGCTGATAGCTCAATTTTGAAAATGAAATGTATTTTAATGAACACTGCCTTTATAATTATACAGTGTGTATATACATTTTTTGGAACATCTGATATTTAATTTGTTTCCAGAAGGAAACACTATTAACTGGTCTTAGTCATTACCCCTAATCACTTGGTATCTGAGGGACTGAGGGGTGGCATGGAAGGACATAGGCTTTCTCTTAAATGCCTTTTGTAACTTTTTAAAAAACATGTTTTTATTGAATTCAGAGAGGAAGGGAGAGAGAGAGAAACATCAATGATGAGAGAGATCATTGATTGGCTGCCTTCTGCATGCCCCCTACTGGGGAGGGCACCACAACCCGGACATGTGTCCTTAACTGGAATTGAACCCAGGACCCTTCAGTCTGCAGGCTGAAGCTCTATCCACTGAGCCAAACCAGGTAGGGCCTTTTGTAACTTTTAACGTTCTTTCTTTACCTGTTGCGCATCTTCAGGGGCCTGATATCTAGTGCTCATTTCCCCATCAGAACTCTGAACCAACTGAGAGAAGAGGACTCGGTAGACAGAGAACAAAGTGCCATCTTTATTACAGAGTTCACGCTGGAGAGGACAGTGTGTCCTGGAGCTGCAGACAGTGGGCTTCAGACCAGTGAGCCCCATGGGGATAGAACTGCACCGAGGCAGGTCCCCTGCCCACCCAAACCGGCGCCCACTATCCCCATGCGCTTCAGAACAGGGCGCATGCTCTTTGTAAGCTACACCAAAGATTGAAAAAGAAAGAGGAAGCACAGAGTAGGTTCGCCCAGTTCTGCCCATCTCCCACTTCACATAGGTCACTGTACCTCCAAAGGGCATCACTAAGGACTGTCACCCCAATGAGGCTCAGTGCACAGGGAAGGAAGCAAGAGTGTGTGTATGTGTGTGTGGGGGGAGCCTCTTTCTCAAACCTCTTTTAAAAATATATTAAATAATGTTAAAGTTCGTAGAACTGACATAATCTACCCAAGGTCTCCAGCCAGCGTGTGGTAGAACAAAATCGAAACCAGATCCTCCGACTTCTGATTCTTGCATCTGGCCTGCACTGCCTGCTGCCCCAGCACAAATAGGGACAGAGAAATCAGACAGGTGAGGAGCAGGCCACACGGGCAGGAGAGCGTGGTTATTTTGAGACAGAGCAGCTGCTCCTGACAGCTGGCTTTTTTTTTTTTTTTTTTTTTTTTAATATATTTTATTGATTTTTTTACAGAGAGGATGGGAGAGGGAGAGAGAGTTAGAAACATCAACCAGCTGCCTCCAGCACACCCCCTACTGGGGATGTGCCCATAACCAAGGCACATGCCCTTAACCGGAATCGAACCTGGGACCTTTCAGTCCGCAGGCCGACGCTCTATCCACTGAGCCAAACTGGTTTCGGCTGACAGCTGGCTTTTGAGGAGAAAATGGAATTGGGGTTTGATCGAGGGGGCTACCAGGTCCAGGAGAAAGACATGTTAGGGATGCAGGCTTACGAAAAGGCCTTGGCACAGCAGAGCAGGCAGCCCCATGAGGGCAGCAGAGCACCACCAGTTTCCCCCTTACTTCCCCCTGTCGCAAGGAGGCCTCATTCATTTTCTTTATTTTTTTCTTTTAAGATTAACTTTTTCTCTTTAAAAAGTTTTTTTCTTTTAATATATTTTATTGATTTTTCACAGAGAGGAAGAGAGAGGGATAGAGAGTTAGAAACATTGATGAGAGAAACATCGGTCAGCTGCCTCCTACACACCCCCCACTGGGGATGTGCCCGCAACCAAGGTACATGCCCTTGACTGGAATCGAACCTGGGACCCTTCAGACTGCAGGCTGACACTCTATCCACTGAGCCAAACAGGTTTCGGCAAAAAAAAATTATATATATATATATATATATATATATATATATATATATATTTTTTTTTTTTTTTTTTTAATTCCAGAGGAAGAGAGAGAGAGAGAAACATCAATGATGAGAGAGAATCATTGAATGGCTTCCTCCTGTGCACTGGGGAGCAAGCCCACAACCAGGGCATATGCCTGACCAGGAATCGAACTGTGACCTCCTGGTTCATAGGTTGATGCTCAACCACTGAGCCACACTGGTTGAGCCTCACTTATTTTCAGAGATTCCCAAACTATAGAATAACATCAAACATCCTACCCACCCCTACGCTAGAAGCCATGTCTGCTTCTCGGTTCAAGCCAGTTCCTTAGCAACAGCTGGGAGCCAGCTCCTTAGCCACGTGCATATGAACTCTCAGATTCATTGTTTTCCCTCTGTTTGCATGAAGCTTCCCATTTTGAACAGCAGAGCTCTGTTTTCAAAGTCTGGTTCCTGTCTCCCTGTCATGAAGAGTGGTGTGCAGCTAGCCTTGCTGGAGAGCGAGATGAGTGAGTGAATGACCATTGATTGGGAATCTGCAGGTGAGGAGAGAAACGAGGCCCTGGATCCTGGAAGCAGACAAGCCCTCAGGGAGGTAGTTTCCCACACAGGAAAGAGCGACTCTCCCAAGACACCCAGCGTGGCTTCGTCTTTCGGGGAAGGTGGCTGACTGCTCTCTTGCCTGGTGTCGTAGGAGGTTCTAACCGAGCCTGGACTGGGTCGCTCTTTGTAGTGGCTCCTCCAGTGAGTTGGGTGCATGGCCACAGGGGAGGGGTTGGGCTGAGGGATAAGGCAGCACTTTGATGTTTGATCTAAGATTCTAGAAGGTGTGCGGCTGAGGGATAAGGCAGCACTTTGATGTTTGATCTAAGATTCTAGAAGGAAGGGGGATTGGCTGTATGGAAACACGGAAGATGCAGGAATGGGGTGATGCCCATATGCCCTCCCCTTTTTTCAGGCTGTTGGCTGGCTTCGAGTTCCCTCCCTGTGGAGAGAGGGCTTCTTTAGGATGGATGGGGAAGGAGCTGTGTTCATCGGGGGCTTTGTGAGAGCCTGGACCTGAACCTGCGGCCTGTGTGCAGAATCGAGCCAACCTTCCTGTCCTAGCCCTGCTCAGGCCACAGGGCCGCTTGAGTATCCTGACCACTGAGCCTGGTCAGCACCCTATTGGAGGAGACCAGAAGAGCAGGGTCTTTATGAGGACAGCAGAAGCAGTATGGGGAGACCCTGGGAACTCCCTGAAATAGCAAGAGAAACACTACATGGGGAAAGAGGGTGCAGACATGAGGTGGGAGCTAAGAGAGGTGGCTGCAGACATGCTGGTGGGAGCTAATTTGGTTATTCGGGTGTTAATGACAATATAATCTCACTTGCACCTACAGCAGCTGATGCCTCTGTCTTGACTTGTGTTCCTGATTTGAATGAATATCTCATTTAAAGCTTTTGCATTTTGGTTTCTCATTGACCAAAACCAGCATCCATTCAGTCTTCAAAGAGCAATTTTTCACCAAGAGAATCTGAAAACCAAGGATCTAGCCTATATCCTTTTCTTTGGGTAGGAGAGCAGGTAATATTAATTCAGGAATTAATTGGAATATTATACTTTTCTTATTTTATTTTTTAATTTAATTTAATTTATTTTCTATTTTATTGATTTTTTTACAGAGAGAAAGGAAGAGGGATAGAGAGCTAGAAACGTTGATGAGAAACATCAACCAGCTGCCTCTTGCACAACCCCTACCGGGGATGTGCCCTTGATCAGAATCGAACCCGGGACCCTTCAGTCCGCAGGCCGACGCTCTATCCACTGAGCTAAACCAGTTTCAGCTGGAATATTATACTTTAAAAGAAACTTCCAGAAATATTTTCCCCATGACATCCCAGGAGAAGTTAGTCATACTTTGGAGGACTTTCAACACTGGTTAGAAATTTATTGGCTCACAAATAAAATACAAGTAATCTGGGCCCCTGACTATAAGTTCTGCCCCTCCTCTTTGCTTCCAGCCGGCTCAATGCATGAGAACCACGATCTTGAGGTGTCTTCTGACTTGCCTTGCGCAGGCATGGCCACTGTTCTTACCTAGCTGTAGATGTGGCTGGTTGTCATGGTGATTCTACTGGAGCATCACTTGGCTTAGGAACTAAATAAATCTTCAGTCACATCTGTCCAGTTGGAGCCAGTTTCTTTGGAGTCTGGACACACGAGGGGGGCTTCAGAGAGTAGTTTACTTTGAGGGAAACAGAAGGAAAAAGGGAGCTGAGATCTACTGCCTGCCCAGGCCGAGTGTCTCTTGAGCCAAAGTTACCAGCTCTCCCAGGAGGGCTTCCTGGGGCCGGAACAGCGCAGTTTGTTTTCAGGGCTGAAACCAGCTGGCTATTAACTTGGAAAGGAAAGGTGGGCAGGTCCACATAGCCCGCCCCGCATGGAGCCCCTGCTCTCTGGTTAGGAACGGGGAGCCCTAAAGACTGGGTAGTTGTGGGGCACGGGGCTCAGGCGGAAGAGCCAAGGAGGGAGCCTACCAGAGGTGTGGCGGACGCAGAAGCAGCTTGCCTGGTTTTCTGGCTTCGAGCTAGGCCTTTACCTGTAATCGCCCGAAGGCAGGAGGCTTCAAGGACCTCGGACTAGGGTTGAGGCTGGTGGTCCCATCCTCTTCCACTCCTGACCCTTCTCAAGATGACCTTTCTATGCCCCCTCCGCCCTGGGGGTTCCCTTTGACAGGAGGTGTGGCTTCTAGTCCCTCCAGAGAGAATGGAATGTTTCAAGAGGAAGGCTGCCTCCCAAAGCTTGGTGCTGGGCAGGGAGGTGGCCCCTCGTCATGGCAGCTGTGCTGTGGTTGTCTCCGGGCCTCCCCCCTCCTGGTCCACACACACCTCCGCTTACGAGGGGACAGCGCCGTCTCTGTCACATCTCATGATGCCTTTGCCACCATGAAGCAGGACCTCCCCGAGCCCCTGGCCGGCTGCATTGGCTTCCAGGGGTCCAGGCCATAAGAAGAGGTCACGTTGACCCATTTGAAAGCTGCTCCCCTTTTCTTTCCCCTACACTGCCCACCGCCCCCCTCCCAACCACTGCTTACTTCTGCTTCTTTGACTCCTCCTCCTTCTGAACAAGTGAGTCGTTAGAGAAACGATCCCCACCCCTGTGATCAGTACGCAGGTGATGAGAATGGACATCCTGGAAGGAACCACAGACACTTTTATGTTCCTTGGAAGAGACCACGTTTTGACTCTCTGCTCAGGATCCCCTTGTCTGAGATCAGTCCCCCCCGCCCCCCCCCCCCCCCCCCCCGCCCTGTTCCTGCCCCGGCCAGTTCTCCAGCAGCTCCTGCCAAGTGTGTATATGCCTTCCGAGGGGCCGCCACCCTCCAGGCCGCACTTGATCACACCCAGGGCGGGTGTGTGTCCGCGCTGGGCTGAGTCCCTTCCTCAGAAACCAACCTGAGACCCAGAGGAGAAGGATCCAGTCTCAGACTAACTAGGCCTTTGAAGGGGAGACAAGAACTCAGGGGCTAGACATGGATATCTTCTCCCAGGGCAAAATGAAGAACAGGGAGTAGGACAGGGGGAAGGCAAACACACACGAGACCAGCCACTGGGAGACAGAGATAAAGTTTCCGCTGACTGAGGGCAGCCGCGTCCTGCCCTTGCACTTGTGAGACACCGCTCTCTCCTCCTTTCAAATGAAAACAGGTTGCGGCATCTTGTGACCAAGAGCTCTAAACTGTATCCTTTGGGAAGGAACCATATGGTCACGTTGGGGAGACCTCGTTGAGGTGGAGAAACCGTGCCGCTGAAAGTGGCGGATGTGAGTCCGTGGTCACGTCTGCTCACCAGTAGTGATCTGCCTTGTACACGAGTTTGGAAGCCCTGCAGCTTCTGTTCGCGTTCCTTGGCGCATCTGCATCAGAAAGAAAGGATTTGCTAAGAGCCAAGCAAGGCCCGTTCCCAGGCCCACCCTTTGCCTCTGCATCTCCGCCTGGCATTCCTTCAATCTCCACTGCGTGCGTGATGGCTGGTCAGGCAGACGCACCACGCACCGTGGCATGACAGGTACCCTGCAGGGAGTGAGGTCGAGGGAACGAGACACCCCACTCTGCTCGCTGAGCCACCGCTGTAGGGGCACCCCCACATGGACCCCTGGCATGCCCCTACCCTTCATGGACCAAAAGTCACTGGTGTGGGCTCCTCTGGAGTCAGTCACGACCAGCTCGGTGAAGTCCATGTCATCCCGGGCAAAGTCCCGCTGGATGCCGCACCAGTACCAGCCCGCGTCCTCTTTGGTTAGGCAGGACACGGTGACAATGAGCTGCTCCCCCGTGTCCCTCAGGGCCACGCGGCCGGTGCTGTTGGGGGTGAAGGCGATGATGCTGCAGTAGTCTCGGTAGTAGCCTCGGCACCAGTACTTGAGGTGGTCCTTGTAGTGGGCGGCGTAGCTGCAGACGGCAGACACCGTGTCCAGCACAGAGCACTCCTTGAGCTTTTTGTCCATGACCATGGCTTCTGTAAAAAAAACCAAAAAAACAACAACACAGAGACAGGAGGGGTAAGGGGGGGACCAACAATGATGGGGACACTTGGTTCAGAGTGGTGGACACACAATACAGTGTACAGATGATATAGAGTTATGTAGTTCATAACTACATAATGTTATGAACTAATTCACGCCAATAAACTCAATAAAAAACATGACACACACACACACACACACGCACACACGCACGTATGTACAAAAACACCAGTGTTCTTTTAACGGGTTGTAGCTTCTGTCCTCCTTGAGGAACATGAATGAAAACATTGGAGGCTGATATTTGCCTGTTGGGGGTTGGCAACTTTTCGGGGCTGAGTAGTGTGACCCCTAAAACTCATACATTGAAGTGCTGCCCCCCCCCCCCCCCCCGATCCCTCAGAATGTGACTGTGTTTGGAGGCAGGACCTTTAAGCGGGCAGTTACATTGAAATGGGGCTGTTGGAACTGGCCCTTGACCAACATGACTGCTGTCCTTAAAAAAGGAGATGAGGACACACGATGGAGGGAACGACCGTGTGAGGATACAGCAAGAAGGCGGCCCTCCAACTCCCCTCCTCCCCCATCCCCCGTCTGCAAGGACTGAGGAGGCCTCTCACCATTGCTTGGCGGGAGGCTTGAAGAGCCTGAGGCTTACCGTTCACAGATCCTCTGCCCTCAGCCACGCTCCCCCACAGTCCACCCCGGACCCTCAAGAAGAAAATGAGAAGGTTTGGGGGCTTCTGTTGACTGTATGGGGCGGTTCTTAGAGACCAAGAACTTTTATTTCCTCCCTACAAGGCCAGCACGAGCACCTCTGTCATCTGAGAATATTGCATAACGAGGAAGTCGTGCACGCCACGTCCAGCTTGACCGTGGCTGGGGAAGTGTCCAGCCAAGGAGAAGAGGTGGGGGCAGCAGCCCATCTGCGTGAGCCTCCAGATGTGTGCTGGGATCCCCTCAAACACCAGCTCCAGCGTGGCTCACGGTGAGCGGGGACTGGCCTGCAAGGCAGGCTCGTGCCCTTGGTACCAATGGATAGCATTTGGTATTTTGTTCTCATATCCACCTCACAAGGAAGATCATGTGATGCTCAGTTCACAGGAAGAGGCGCTGACCCAAGAGACCCTAGCAACTCTCAAAGGTCACGACAGAGCCAGGGCCAGCCCAGTCCTCCCAGTCTCATCTTTGGCTCAGTGGTAGAGCGTCGGTTTGAGGACTGAAAGGTCCCAGGTTCAATTCTGGTCAAGGGCATGTACATTGGTTGTGGGCACATCCCCGATAGGGGGTGTGCAAGAGGCAGCTAGTCGATGTTTCTCTCTCATTGACGTTTCTATCTCTCTATCTCTCTCCCTTCCTCTCTGTAAAAAAAATAAATAAATAAATAAAAAAGAGAATGGGCAGAAAGGGAAACATCTTACTCTCGTATATCTGCAGAAACGTTTTTTGAAGGGGATACGGGGGAAGGGAAGAGGAACTTAAACTGAAAGAGAGAATGCAGGGCCCTCATTTTAGCCGAGGGTTTCAAATTCCCCACAGCTCTCTAGTCAGAGCTAAGAACAAGAACTATTTTTGGGCAAGATCTATTTTGCCTCCTATTTTCCCATCCCACTCCTGTGGCAGCGGGAGCTAATGAGTAGGAGAGGAGGTGGTATTGGAAGGTCCCTGGGAGGCGGGGGAGGCTGGCGGCATTTCTCCCCATGTCTTACCTGAAAGGACAGTCAGGGAGAGCAGAACGAAGAGCCCCATGGCTGGACGGAAATGAGCCTCCACTGGCCAGAGGCACCCAAGGGTCTCAGCAATCCTGGATCTGTTTAAGAGAAACAGGTATCTCTGAGCTCAAGGTGGTTCTATCCTGTTTGGAGAAACCAGGGGAGAGGGAACAACTGCCTAGTCCAGGCACTGCTGCCATGTTCAGGTGTCCATCACATGATGGCACCAGCGTACCTCATCGGAGGAATGCCATTCATGGACGTGAATGTATAGGATAAAGTGGGGCAACTGAGAAAATTCTGGGCTTCCTGACAGAGCCCCAAGCAGGCATGGAGATCCCCAACCTGGATAAATCCACCTGGACACAATCAGAGGAGCACACGGGTACGCTGTCGCTGGCACATGCTCGTGTGTGCAGCTGTGCCTCGCCCTGCCAAGGTTCCGGGTATCCCAGAGGCCACTCCTCGGGCCCACCACTCTTGCTCAATTCCTCTTTAGCGCAGAGGAAGACTGGCAAGGAGGTTCCTAACTCCCCTGCCTCCTGAGTGGACGCAGAAGCCTCCCTGGGGGTTGGGGTCAGGGCTGGAACACGAAGCTGTCAGTAGCAGATGTGTCCGGTGGCGTCTGCAACACGTGAGCAGGCCCACAAGCAGCCCAGGAAACCAGCCCCTTATCTCCAGTCAGAGGCTCAGGGGCCAGAAGTCGGACGAGCAGGAAGCAAGTACTAGCCCAGACCTCCCAGCAATAACCCATCCACCATCAGCCCCGAGTGGCCAGGACTTGATAACTGACAGCTCCCCCTATATTCTCCTCCTGCTTCCAGCTTGGGGGCAGCCAGAGAAAGGCCAAGGTGCCCCCCTAACCAAGCGCACAAGAGGTGCCCCTGTAGTTAGCCCGCCTGCAGCTTCCCCAGGACAACAGCCTCTGGCCAGGCCCCGCAGCCTCCCTTTCTCCCCAAACAGAGCTTCCCAGCTGCTCCGCCCGCCTCTGAGTCTCTGCCCAGATGCAGGTGGCGGCTGACTCCCTTGTTACAGTGGACCCGGAAGAAATGGCCTTTGCTATTCTCATCTGGTCTTAGCTTATTTCCATAGCGGACTTGATAAAACAAGGGCAAACAGACCCACCTACTCAATATCTGTCTTGGTTCCGGGGAAACCATACAGGGGAGGAGGAACCTTCGTTGTGTCAGGGTGGTCTTCCCACCTTACTCCTTTGGAATAAAAGCCTAACAGCCGCCCTCCGGTGTGCAGCCGAAGGGCGCTAGCCGGGAGCTGGAGTCGGGGGACCCTGTGGTGTTATCTCTAAACCTGAAGTCAGTGTGGGACTCACCGCTTCTACCCAAGCTCCTCACGCGTGATTCTTGGTTCTTTTTTTTTTTTTTTTTTTTTTTTTTAATTCACTCCTAGGAACATTTCTACTTTAATGGCTACTTCTGGGCTGGTGGGACTCCTTAGCTCAGGGGACACCCACATGACCAAAAAATAAATAAAAAATTAGCTCCATTGGGAAGAAAAACAAAGAGGAGGAGGAAGAAGAGGAGGAGGAGGAGAAGTAGAAGGAGGAGGGGGAGGAGGAGGAGGAGGAGGAGGAGGAGAAGGAGGGGGAGGAGAAGGAGGGGGAGGAGGAGGAGGAGGAGGAAGAGGAGGAGGAGGAGGAGGAGGAGGAACGGAGAAAAGAAAACAGTGTTTTCCTGACTCTCAGGAGCTACAGCCCCTAGGATGACATCAGATGACCCAGGACAGACTGCTGTTTTGTTTGGTGGGAAATGATCACTTTATATCCAGTTTCCAAAAAGGGCTGATGCTGAGTGTTGCTACAGCAATGAAGTGCAAGACTGCAAATGAAGAAGCTCATGTGAAGAACAGTGGGGACTGAGAAGGAACCAGTACCTCCCTCAAGTAGCCAACTGGGAAAGGTGGTTCCTGGGCAGATCGCTGAACGGGGGGTCACCAGCAGCCCCAGAGGCAGCCCAGGACCTTGTCCCGGAAGAACTTTCTAACTACACACAGACATTCAATCGAATAAGGGGATACCACTAAGAAAAAAACCTGGGCAGTGCGTGCAATTCTTAAGGAAAAGTATCCCCCAAAATGTGGAATGGGAGAGATTGTCAGGAATAAAGCCATTGCCCTCTCCCAGAGACCGAAGGGGACAGTGGGGGCTGTTCCGGTCTTCTGCCTGGAAGATGTGATTGTGAGTGACGCCAGGAAGTGAGCGGGTGGGGTGACCAAGTTGAACTTCCCAGTGTTGATTCTTCCTGGGGTGACAGGAGGAGAAACAAGGACCCTTCCCTGAAACGTTAACCAGATAAACATGATCATCAGGCTCCAGCCTACGACGGAGGTCCGGAGAAACTTTCAGGACTTGGCTACGAATTAATAAACACCATTTCAGCGACTTACCCCGTGGGACATGGTTTCACTGAAACCCCCATCCTGCGGCTCTCACCAAGCTAATGTACTTACTGTCTTGGGAGTGAGAGTCCACAGATGCAAATTTGGGTGGACAGGCCAGAGATGTCACCTTGACTCTCCAAAGCCACACTCAGTGCTTGAAGGATGTGACATAAACTCTGTCCCCGTGTGGTGTACTGATTAATAAGAGATAACTAAGGCGGGGGCGGGAGGGGGGGAGGGAAGAAGAGGAAGCCAGCAGCCCTCAAGTACACAAATCATAGCTTGTGCCCATGCATCTGCTACTGGTCCATTAGGTGAACTTGAGTTTGGACTTTGGAGCAGCTCCGAGTCCCTCTTCATGTCTGGGGTGCTGAGAGTCTGGGGTCCTCCCCAATAGGTGCTGAGAGTCTGGGGTCCTCCCATAAGGTAGGGTTGAGTTTATATCCTGGTTCTCCTGCTTGTTAATTGCGTGACTACAGACAGATTACCTAGCCCAATTGTCGGCAAACTCATTAGTCAACAGAGCCAAATATCAACAGTACAGCGATTGAAATTTCTTTGGAGAGCCACATTTTTTTTAAACTTAAACTTCTTCTAACACCACTTCTTCAAAATAGATTCACCCAGGTCGCGGTATTTTGTGGAAGAGCCACACTCAAGGGGCCAAAGAGCCGCATGTGGCTCGCGAGCCGCAGTTTGCCGACCATGGACCTCACCTCTAAGTTCTTTCATCTGCAGAATGGAGGTGATAATACTTGTGGTACCTACCTCAAAGATTGTCAAGATCTAAAAAGATAATGAATGCGCAGAGCTTAGTGCATTGAAAGTACCCAACAGATACTAACTATGCCCTTGTCTCTTTCTGCCCCGCCCCCACTACTCCCATTACAATGAAACATCAGAGGAACTACTAGGACTCAGCTCTAGAGGGAGAATCATTCCTTCCTTATCCATCCATGAATGGATCATAAAGTTGACAAGTGCTCCGATCAGCCCAGGAAAAGGGAGCAGAGTGTCTTGGGGTAAGCAGTGAGGGGCCCAGAATTCATACAGGTGAACATGCCACGTGGCTCCGGGTAGCAAGTAGGCTGAATGCCAAGAGCTGGATCTTCAAGCCCCAAGTGACCCTGGCCCTTAGCAAAGAGCTCCACAATCGTTGGTTTTCATCTTTTATTGACTCAGATACATTTACAGATGGATTTGGCAGTGTAAGTACCCCCTTACGCTCAGCTCACTCCTGTCCCCGCCGTCTCCTGGGCATCTACTGAGAGCAGGGTCCATGGAGTAGAACTGAGTCACCACCACACACATGTCTAGCCTGAACTGAAACTTTTGTCAGTAAGTCAATGAGGCATCCTTCAGATTCGGTGACTCCTTTTGGGGGGAAGGAGGAACATGGGCAATATTAACAATAATAGAACATTTTACCCAAGTCAGGCATCCAGAGAATTGAATTAGGGAGGATTGACAAAGGTAAAAAAAATCAAATTAGAGGCAGAGGGTAGTAGAAGAGGTATAATTGGAGACGGCCGGCCAAATGCTCCCCACATCAGTGGGGCAGAATCAAGGATGTTGAAAGACCTTGGCCCAGGAGGGTAGGACCTGAATTGAATGTTGATGTTGAATCTGAAGGTCAGTTGGGCAGACAGTCATCTTTCGTGGATAACTACTAAGAAATCTGTTCAATATTTGGGTCCAAGGAATCGGAGGGCTGGCAGTTCATACAGGCTTTGAAGATCAAGAGATAGGTCTCCTTGAACTTTTTTATTTTAAAGGCATAGACGATAGGGTTCATCATGGAGTTAGCATGAGACAGCAGGATACCCAAGTTCAACACCACCTCGGGCACTTCACCGTTAAAGTAGGTGATACAGTTGATGATGGACAAAGGCAGCCAGGACAAAGCAAACAGGAAGAGAACCAGGAACAAGGACTTGGCCGTCTTGAACTCCCGTCCATAAAATGTGCCGGTCTCTTTGGTGTTTGAAAAGTTCAGACTGAGTTTGTTCCGGATGATGCAGAAGATGTCGACATAGATGGCGCACATGGCAATCAGGGGAATGAAAATCCAAGTGAAGAAGCTGAAGTACACCATGTAGTCCAACCTCATGACAGAACGAAACTGGCAAGGAATGAAGGTCTCATTTTGGGGGGACTCCGAGGACAGTTTCGTGTTCCAGCCGAACATGGGGGTCAACCCCACCAGGATTGACAGCAGCCAGCAAAGGCCCAGGGCGCACCATATCCTCCTCTGAGTGGTGACCCTCCTGTATCTGTTTGAACGGGAGAGAGTGGGTGAGTTCACAGCATTTGCTCAAGGACAGGGGGAGGTGGAGCTGGTCCAGGAGTGAGGAATGTGGAGAGTTGGTATTCTATGATGATTTTGGCTAAATGCTACTGGATCTGAAGATGAGATGAACAAACAACAGCTAGAGAAAAATCCGAAAACCTCTCTGGGGGAGCTTTCTAAAGAAGCATGATCTGGCCCTCTCCGTGTGGCTCAGTGGTTGAATGCCAATCTCTGAACCAAGAGGTCATCGTTTTGATTCCCGGTCAGGGCACATGCCCGGTTTGCGAGCTCAATCCCTAGTAGGAGGTGTGCAGGAGGCAGCCAATCAATGATTCTTTCCCATCGTTGATGTTTGTCTCTCTCTCTCTCCCTCTCCCTTTCTCTCTCTGAAATAAATTTTAAAAACATACTTAAAAGAAGTATGGCTGAAACCGGTTTGGCTCAGTGGATAGAGCATCGGTCTATGGGCTGAAAGGTCCCAGATTTGATTCCCCGGTGGGGGGTGTGCAGGAGGCAGCTGGTCGATATATTTCTCTCATGGATGTTTCTAGCTCTCTACCCCTATCCCTTCCTCTCTGTGAGAAATCAATAAAATATATTTTTTTAAAAAGAAATATGGTCTGTAATGGATCAGGAATATGCTACCTGGACTCAGGTGCTCACATGCTTAACTCACAAGTCCATTTCCAGCCCAAGAATTCTTCAGTTCCTGGGAGGTAAGAGTTAGTCATCTAAGTCTCCTGGGGTCGCCTACCTGGTGAGAAATGATCTCAAAGCATGTTTGCCTGCATCCTCTGCTTGTCGGGTTGCTTTTTTGTTCTGAAGTCCTTTAATTATACTCTGCCTCCCCGACACTCCCTCTGCCTTTGAATACCCTGCTTCTCTTCTTACACTGACACCAAAATGGTGTTTGAGTTCAGTGACTGTGAAGTTGGGAAGGTCATGTTGAAATGCTTCCAGGATCATAGATGCTCATCCATTGAGAGTCCCCATTTCTCCTTAAACCATCCTTCCTGACAACGTTCTACACAGAAGGACACCAACTTTGTTAAGTTCTGTGCACTTAGCTCTGTTAATGAAATCTCACGATTTTCACGAGAATCTCCATTTCATTAATAATAGGGGAAATAAATAGTAGTGTTACCATTTATTGAGCCTAGACTGTGGGCCAGGCTCTGCGGGTGTCAATCCACTGAATCCTATGAGGCAGGTGCAATCACTGTTCCCCTTTCACAGGTGAGAAAAATGAACCTGACAAGTTAAGTAACGTGTACAGATCACAAGTGGAGCAGCTCACATTGAGAAGAGGGAAGGCGCAGAGCATCTTAACCATTACGGGGTAAGATGAGGAACCGAAGAAGAGAAAGTTCTATCATATTCCCAAGATCAGATCTCAAGGTCTGGGATTTGAACCCAGGTTTGTTTGTATCAAAAGCTTGTCTACAGCTCCCTCCCCGAGATCCTTCCCTGAGAGGAGAGAGGAGACACACGAGACGGAAGCAGTCAGGGGAATAGGATTCCTCCATTTGGTGGTCTGTTCCACTCACTCGGTCACACGAGAGACTGTTATTACTCTGAGCAATGGGGAACGTTTTTGGTCCCCTTCTCGACATGGAGGAGGAAGCAACGTGGAAACAGCTTTAACCCACACTTATTTGCAAAGAAGAGAAGCTCGAGCTTATCTTCGACGTCTGTTCCTTATCTTATCTAGTAGGTTTCTATTCTCGTTTCTAAAAGTCCAGAGCGTTGTTCTGCTAATAAAAAATGCATCAAGCTTTTATCGTCGCTGGCTCCCCTGGCTGATCCAGCCCCCACACCCTGAGTCCCTGGACAGGGATTCTTCTTTCTCACTCCCGAGTCTCAGCACATCACCGCCGAAGCCCCCACACACCCAATGGTGACATGAACCTCTTTCGGGCTCAGGGGCCAATTTGGATTTGCTTTTGTTTAAAAAGTCTGGGGCCTGAAACTTGGTAGCTCCGTTTCCCAGGCACCTCCATCCCCGCCCCGCCCCGTTACCTGACCGTGAGCTTGACCCGCAGGTATCGGTCCACAGCGATGGCTAGCAAGAACATGATGGAGGCGTGCGTGAAGACCAGCAGCAGGCAGGTCATGAGAAGGCAGCTGTAGAAGTGGACCCTGATGCCCAGGCTGATGGCCACGGCCAGGGGCATGACCAACACCCCAACAGCAATGTCCGCCAGGGCCAGGGAGACAATGAAATAGAAGGTGGTGGTCTGCAGGCTGGGGTTCAGCTTGACCACCCAAACCACCAGCACGTTGCCCACGATGGCGCAGAGCCCGATGACAATCTCCATGGCGATGTAGACTATGTTGGCCAACGTCAGGGTGGTGCTGTGGTCAGACATCTTGGTTTCCCAGGGGTGTCTCCAGGTGACAGGTGCACAAACAGGCTCCGGGCGGGCCGGGGAGTCCAGCTCTTCCTGGAGGCCCAGGTGCAGCAGCCGCCACCTGATGGTTAAGATGCTCACCACTCGCCCATGCCTTCTGGTCTCTGGTGGGGCGCTCCCCTGGAGGACGTCCGCTCTCTAGAGAGAGCCCATCACAGGGCTCACTCCCAGCCCCTCTGCCGGCCACACATCCCCGGGCTCCCAAAAGCTCCTCGAGCTGAATCTGAAAGAGCTGCTGCTCTTAGTTCCCCAGACAGATGGGCTCAAGGACTCCGCCTCCCCCTGTCCATAGGGCTCACGAAGCTCCATCAAGATAAGCAGCCCTCGTCAGGGTGTTTCAGGAAGTGAGATGGGCCAAGAGGAAGCACAGAGCCAGGAACCCTCAGCAAGAAGAAGGAGAGGACAGAGGAGGGGGTGTGAGTGGCCCTGGGGAAAGCTCAGCATTCTTTGCTCAGGACCGGATGCTGGATGCTAGCATAGCATGGGATGGGAGAGGCGCCGGGAGCACTGACAGCGAACTATTCTGGCTTTCTGCTGGCTTAGCAGAAGATCCCGTGACAACGAGGCAAACAGAGACCCAGAGGAACAAGAAGTGGCCCCTCACCTTACCCAGAATTCATTTTTCCCACTGCACAGAGCGCAGAGCCCGACTGTGTGTCCCTCCACCTTTCACACATTGACATCCACCTCCCAAGACGATGGCCTGTGGAGGCGGGATCCTTGGGAGGTTGTTAGGCCATGAGGGTGGAGCCCTCAGGAATGGGACCAGGGTCCTTATAGGAGACCCCACAGAGCTCCTCTGCCCCTCCCACATCCATGAACCAGGAAGTGGTCCTCACCAGACACGGATTCTGCCCGAGCCTTGATCTTGAACTTCCCAGCCTCTTGTTTATAAACCACCTGCTCTGCTGGGCACAAGTGGGGCCCAGCCTTCACGTGAAGGTCTTTTGTCATGGGGACAAGCGAAGGTTCCCTGCTCAGAAGATGCGGCACGTCCCATGGCATCACGTCTGCTCCATCGCCCCTTCCCAGCCCTCTCCCCACCTCCCCTTCCCAGCCCTCTCCCCACCTCCCCTTCCCAGCCCTCTCCCCACCTCCCCTTCCCAGCCCTCAGCCCACCTCCCATTCCCAGCCCTCTCCCCACCTCCCCTTCCCAGCCCTCACCCCACCTCCCCTTCCCAGCCCTCACCCCACCATACAACCACCTGTGTCAAATCTACTTGAGGGCCAACAGGACAGCAGGATGGCCGGCCATGCAGAAAGGATGGAAATGTGTTCACGTGATCACAGGGCATCCCCGGCCCCTCTGGTGCCCCAAAGCCCACCCCCACGCTGAGGAACAGGTGTCTGTCTGGGAACCGGGCCCTTTCCCTGAAGTTGCTCACCTGGTCTCCGCTCGGGGGAACCACACACTCAGGGCGATTGCTAGGCGATGGCCACCTCATCCAGGCGCCTCTCTGTGCTGCCCAAAGGGGTCGTTTACAGAACAGCTGAGCCTCAGCCCACACAGTGGGTTTAAGGGTCTGGGATATTTACTTTAAAGCACCAACCTATGCACAGCCCCCAGTGCATCCCACGGTCCACCAAGCGGTCCCTCCGCTGGGGCCTGCCAGGCTCTCCGTGCCACCCACGGGGGCCCACAGCGCCCCAGGCTGGTGGGTCCACATCTGTCTGAGCGCCTGCCCTGCCCTGTCTCCCTGAGCCAACTCCCCAGACACGAAGGGGCCTCTGACTGCATCCCCTTCCTGGCTTCCACGTGGTCACTTGTCCACGTCTCCCCTGAAACCGCTCTCTTTATCGCTCCTCAGAGAAGGAAGCCACGGGAGCCTTGTCCAGGAGGCCGTGCTGATGGGGCGGCTGCTCTCACTCTGCAGCAATCTTTGAGTCACTCTGAAAAGCGCACTCTCCCCCACCCCTCCCACCCAGGGCAGCCAGGAGCCGGTGAAGAAAGACCCTCTAGGAGGGAGTCAGGGTCCGCTCGCACCCAGCCCGGCTGCCGAGGGAGGCAGGCTCCGTGTGGGAAAGCTGGAGGGTGACAGGGCTCCTACATGCAAAGCTCAGGTGCCGATGGAGAGGTGGTCAGGCCGGGAAGTGTCCGAGCCACGGAGCCAGCCCCTGAGGAGCGTGCTTTATGCCATCTGTCTCTCTCTTCCCCTCGGTGCCCAGGGGAGCCCGCTCAGCGGAGACCGGCCCGTCTCAGCTGGGTGAGAGATGCCAAGGACGGGGGCTTTGTCCCAGCACCAGCCCCAAGAGCAGCGTGGTGGGGACAGGACAGCCCGGGGGACATTAACCCCTGGCACACAGGATAGGCAGGGGACACGCTTGGGGACACCGACCACGCCACCACGTCACACCTGGGACCCTGTCTCCAGAACGCCCTGTGCAGACCTGGGACTGCCTCTCTGCACGTTCTGAGCGGAGAGAGCCTTCGGGGTCGCTCCACATCGGGGCTGAGGACTGGGCCTGAGTGTCCTCTCCGCCAAAGGGCGCGGGGGCCAGAGGACAGGAGGCCGCCGCCAGTCCTGGTTACGTAGCTGCCCCATCACCTCGTGCGGGGACCTCCTCCCCCTCCTCCCCCACCCCAGAGGCCAGGTTCCCTCACAGCCTCCGGCGGCCCCCAAGGTCAAGTCCACGCTCCTTGGAATGGCCAGGGGGCCCTTTGTGAAGGGGTCTCCCGGCCCCTGCAGCCTCCTGTCACCCCATTTCCCAGAAACCACGGGCCCCCGGGCGGATCCCCGGGGCTGGAGGCAGCTTTCACTTCCCCACCCCTGCACACAGGCTCCGGGCCCGCCGGGAGGCCAGGAAACAAGCCCCGGCCCCGCCAGGCTGCCCGGGAGCCAGGCCTGGGGGAAAGTGCCAGGCGCTGCCCCTCCTGGTGCCCCAAGATGCTGAGCTTCTCCTGCAAGCTCTGGAGGGCAGCGCCCCAACTTCCCTGCCTGCTGCCTGTCCCCCGCGCAGGGCTGCACTCGGCACCAGTAACTCGCCAGGACCGCTCTCCACGGTCACGGCTGCTGTGTTCGCCACTGGACTTACGCGTCCCGATTTACTGCTCTCCCATGGAAGACAGACTGTCTGCACTGTCAAGCTCAGAGGGGGTAAGCTCCTTGCCCAGGGGCGCACAGCGAGGGCGTGGGGTCCCTGCCCGGGGCCCTGGCTGCAGGGCCAGGGTCCAAACCTCGGCCTTCGCTGGAGGAATGAGTTGGCGAAGGGCCTCGCGAGGCTTCCATGGACGAGCCCCGAGGTCTAAGGGCGCCGTGCTGTCAGGGGGAGGCCCTAACCTCACGTCCCGAAAAGAAAGAAGTGGCCAAGGCCAGGGGAGCGAAGCGCGAGTATAGGCAGGTCGGGCTGCAGCCCTGAGTTAGGGAGAGAGGGAGGCACCAGGCAGACGACGCTGCACACACACACACACACACACACACACACATCTGGCCACTGAGGGAGACCTCGGCCAGAAAGAAAAGCCTCCTTTGGACCAAGATGCCAAAAAGTGTTATCCTATATCATAATAGCCTCATATGTTACAGTCAACCAATATGAATAGCCTCATATGGATGGTCAACCGATCGGCCGTTCAACCAATCAAAGCTAGTAATATGCTAATATCATTAATAATATGCTAATGATATGCTAAGGCTGTAATATGCTAATATCATTAGTAATATGCTAATGATATGCTAAGGCTGCTCAACCTCTTGCTATGACTTGCACTGATCACCGGGGGCAGGCAGAAGACTGGTAGGCCAGTTGCTGGGATGTGCACTGACCACCAGGGGGAGGAAGGTCTGACCGGTAGGTAGGTTAGCTTGCTGCTGGGGTCCAGCTGATTGGGACTGAGCAAGATGGCTGGAGCCCTCCCCGCAGCTGGCCAACATGCTGAGTTCTTCCCTGGCCCTGATCATGCACCGGTGGGTCCCTCGGCCTGGCCTGCACCCTCTCACAATCCGGGACCCCTTGGGGGAAGTTGGAGAGCCAGTTTCAGCCCGATCCCAGGCCAGGCCCAATCCCACAGGCCAGGCCCGATCCCAGGCCAGGCCCGATCCCACAGGCCAGGCCCGATCCCAGGCCAGGCCCGATCCCACAGGCCAGGCCCGATCCCACAGGCCAGGCCCGATCCCACAGGCCAGGCCCGATCCCACAGGCCAGGCCCGATCCCGCAGGCCAGGCCCGATCCCAGGCCAGGCCCGATCCCACAGGCCAGGCCCGATCCCAGGCCAGGCCCGATCCCACAGGCCAGGCCCGATCCCACAGGCCACTGGTGCACGAATTCATGCACTGGGCCTCTAGTTCTTTTCTCTTTCTTTCTTTCTTTCTTTCTTTTTTAAAAAAATATATATTTTATTGATTTTCTACAGAGAGTACAGGAGAGGGACAGAGATGAAACATTGATGAAAGAGAAACATCGACCAGCTGCCTCTTGCACACCCCACCGGGGATGTGCCCGCAACCAAGGTGCATGCCCTTGACTGGAATTGAACCTGAGACCTTTCAGTCCGCAGGCCGACACTCTATCCACTGAGCCAAACCGGTTTCAGCTGGGCCTCTAGTTCTAAATAATAAAATAAACAAGTGAAATGTGGCTCAGGGATTTTCCCATAAAAGGAGTGTCATGTTGGTTTCAGTTTTACTAAAGAACTTGAACTTGGTAGAGGAGGCAAGGCTGTGGGAGGAAAGGCCACTGGAGTCCTGAGGAAAGGCCTGCCCTGTACCCAGCCTGGGTTGGAGCCTCCTGGCCAAGGGCTCACCACAAGCCTGTAGCCTTGACCTTGAGGTTCTGCTTAACATCCCGAGAGGCTGGCCAGAGACTCTCAGAGATTTTGCAGCTTCTCAGGTCAGTCTGGGAAACCCCAGCAGCCAGCCTGCAAAGGCAGCAAGAGGCAGCGTGAGCAGGGCCCGGGCAGGGAGGCGGGCCCCACGGCGGGTGCAGGTGGCGGCCGAGACAGGATGTCAGCAGGCGGGAG